AGTTTTTCTGCACATCCATAAAAAGAAGTCCAAGGCAGGTAGTAAAGGGAGGTCTGTAAAATTAAAAATGCACCCCAAGGTGGTCACATTGCACTGCAGAAAGTCCATGCAAAAAGGCCACCTCCTCTCAGCATACAAGCGACGCAGGTTGGAGCAGTTTGCAGATTTTGGAGTGATAACTATCACAAGACAGGACCTTGGACATTTGATTGCAGTGATGAAATCTATTGCTGCTAAGAGTCACCAGCCGGGTAAACTGCAAAGTGCCTGGGTCAGTCATCTCTGAAGGAGAACACCCTTATTTTTTCTAAGTGAGTCACCAGCATCGCCACACACGTACTAGCTTACTCCACTCCTCCCATTCTCTGTCTCTTGCATTTACAGACAACTAAAATATATTCCAAGGCATCAGAATCACCTCTTGGCTTTGCAGCCGCAGCACACCTCCACTGAGCACACAAGTACAACTGTATTTCTCTTTGTCATGGCTTCCTCTAAAAAAATAAATAAATCCCGGAAACTGTAGTTTGGTTTAAATGCTGAGGTTTTGTTTGAGACTCCCTGATCTAGTGCACAGAACTACAGTTCCCTGGGTGGGAAGGAGACCGAAAGACAGACAGACCAAGACTGCCGTACTAGATTTAGATGGGAGCTTTTAAAACGGCTTCAAAATGCTGTGGGCAAAAAGCTGGAAATAAAACCTTCTTTTTCCTCTGTCACAAGAAAGCTTGTATTTTGCGCATCACTGCTCTGGAAAGTTAATTGTGCTGCTACGCAATTATTGACAGAGAGAGGCCAAAAGAGGGATACAGAAAAATCAAGACAACCAAATTCTGGGAGCAGTTAGAATGAAGGACCATTAACGTATTAGCCCTGCCTGGTCAATTCAGCTTCTGTTTTGGTCAGAACTCACTCATATCAGCAGGTGAAGCTGCTAGATGGTTCTGTGACGATTTGACAGAGAACAAACCCCCACCCAAAGAAACCAATTTTATCAAAAAGCAACTGAGTTTTATGCTTGCAGCCATGCAAATTTTAGGTGAAGCTAATCCTGAAATATATTTAAGCTCATCTTAGATGTTGTGCAAAGGCAAAAGTTCCTCCCCCCTCCCACACACACCACAGATGTCATAAACTTAGCAGGCCATTTGTTGGATGGGCTTATTTTAGAGCCCTAAACCGACAAGAGGCATGTAAGATATGTGGGCTTGGCAAGTTTGGCTTGGAGTGAGCCAAGAGGTTCACCTTTCTTACCAAATGTGGGCAAGGGAATGGGGGGGGGGGATAGCTACAGCACTGCAGAACAGACAGTTCCCCTAATCGCAATACCAAATAGCAGTTCTCTATCAATGTATCCAAGCCTCACAAAAGCGCAAAGGCTTTGTTCTCAACAGCTCCCTGACATGACCAGATTGGAAGCAAGAATTCCTGTTCTGATTGCCAATTCAAGACTGAATTCTCATTGTTCAGACAGTCTCCCCCACCCCTGCCAGACACACACACATACATCAGAAGAGCAGCTTCTTTCTCACACAGGATAACTTCCAGACACAGGCTGTCCATTGTTTTTGTGATATCCCAGGCCTAAGCTTATACAGGAGGAGCCAACACCAAGACAACACACATGTACTCTGTTTGTTCTTGGTGCATTTTGAAACCCACTCTCAAGTTTTAAAAAAGGACAAACCCTTTGGATGGAAGCAGGTTGTTCTAGAGCACCCACAGAGATCACAGTGTGAATATATCCTTCTGAAGTTCCTGGAGGACTACCCATCAATGTCAAGTGATCCCCTAGGTGTGGTCAGTTGCACAGGCCCAGAATGTGGTCTGAAGTTAAGCAGGTCTGGTATACCCACAAGCCTCATGCATGGCCACTTCAGGTGCCTGGTGAAAATGCCACTCACACTGTACATTGTGCCGTTCTAGCTGCTTGGTTATGCAATTCTTAATCCCACAGCAAGCACCCACAGCCTGATGACAACATCTGCCCTTGGTCAGGTGCCCGATTCAAGAGAGCCCTTGTTGCTCTCTGGGCCTTTTGGGTTCAAGCACCTGCAAGGAGGGCTGAGTGCTGCCCGCTCAACACTCTTCTGCATTTCTGTGCCACCCACTCTTTGGAATATGCTTGTGGTTTACTGTGCCACAGCTCCTGCTCCCCATGCAGTATGTCTCAAGTTTAATCCCTGGTAACATCTTCACTTAAGAAGTACTGAGGCTGGGAAAGGCACAAGACCTTGGAGAGTTGCTTTCAGCTTCAGTAGACAGGACAAGGCTAGATGCACCAGCTACTGGCTAAAGTGAAGCCCTAATCCAGGAAAGACATGTTATCAACTTTGGAAAAGCCTTTGGATACCTGTTGGATACCACACTACTACTTTGCCTCTACCACATATTCCAAAAATCCTGCTTCCCCAACTCGCACAGATACTACCACAGAAAGAATGGTTTCAGGTCGCTCACCACTTGAACTGGCACAGATTCAAAAAACGTGGATGTATTAATAAAAAGACACCCTTTATTTTCTCATCCATGCACAAGATGTCGAAAGCCAGGTTAATCACCTTTAAAAGCTAGGGTTTTAGCTCTTTGGTGGCAGCTCTGTATCTACCTGAGTGACTAATTAAACACCTAAAGCAGAACATCTGCAAGCCAGATGCATTTATTATGCTCATAAATCAGCCTCACACTGAGCTCCCTGTCAACATTTCAATAGAGCAGTGTCATAGAAGTCACTGCAAATCCCATAGACATGAGAAGTCAAGGCTCAAAGACACTGTACTAAAACTGAAAAATACTAAAAGGGATAGATCCAACCAGTATTTCTACTGTTGAAGAAGGAAAGTGTTAGCTTTGACCACCCCCCTAACAAAGACTATCCTGGGGATCATGGACCAGCATGCATAAATGTCATGTGGGATAAGGGCTGTAGTAAGGAGAGGAAAGGTGAAGACAATGAAAAAGGTGTCTGGAATCTAGATCCAACCCATTATCTCTACAATCACCCCCCCCCCCCAAAAAAAAAGCTACGGCTGGGACCATCTGTCAGAAAGGTGCAACATGCCACTTAGGCAAGGAAAGGACAATCAGAACAGACAGAGGAGAAGACAATCTCATCCGCCTGCTATCATCAGCGGTGGCATTCACCCTTAATATCTGGGATTGTGGTCTACCTCAAAACCACAGTTTAAGAAATGATGACTGTGTGGGGCCCATAGGAGAAGAATGCTGCTCTGGATTCCCTGGGTCTGACTGATCACAATGTTGTGTTGCTTAGGAGAAGCTGTTTGGCTAAAGTCATATCATCAAATCAGGGGTGGACGGTGCTAAAAAAAAGGGGAGAGAAATAGATAGGAAAATATGCAAATGATCTGCTAAGACTAAAAAATAATTTGCAGTTGTAGGCACAAAACCTGCATAGAGCTGAAAAACATCTCAAGTTCTTTGGCACCAGTAATATATTGTGCACACAACTTATCTCCTGAATTTTTTCCAACCCAATTTTTAAACAGTACTTTCACCTACATGCTTTTGCGTCTCCCTCATAAAAGTGAATGGCTCTCATTGACTTCTGCACAGAAAGTGAAGGACTGTTTGGGCCCTGTCACTGTGTATGCATGTCAAGAGGACGGGGTAAGCTACATTTCCTGCCTCAACATTCTTCATAACTGCAAACCAATAAACCCTCCCAGAGAGGTCACTGGAGCCACAGCTTAAATACATAGAAATTGATAATCTTCACAATCTTGTATCACCTCTATCTCCAGCTGCAAAAATACTAATACAGCATAGCTGCTGAGAGACTGAGCTACAAATCAGGAAGCCCCCTCTCCTCACTGAAACCCCACTGAAACACTAACTCTGCCCCCGTGTTAATGACAATTATACTGCAGGACCTCCTAGGGCTGCAGTAAGAATCGCCAAGGTAATTCTTGCGAAGTACTGCAAGACTTGTAAAACCCTTGTGATTTTTGCAGCCTAAAAAGACAGCTAAGGATGGACATGATAAAGGCTTATGAAATTATGCATGCCATAGAGAAAGTGGAGAGAAGGAACTTTTTCTCCCTCTTCTCTAATAGCAGAACTTGAGGGCACCCAACAAAGATGACAGGAAATGGTTCAGGACACCAGAGGGAATAGCAGCAATGGTCACAAGGGTCACTGGCTTTGCACGAGTTAGGCAAATTCATGGAGGAGAGGTCCATCACCATTGTGGAGAGGCAGCCTCTATCCCCTGTTCACCAGTGTTGTAAGGCAGCCGCCTGGCCGCTCCATGAGACAAAAGGACCAAGGGTCTGAACCAGCAGGGCTCTCTCTCCTGTTCTGAAAGCACCCCCCTCCGCATTTGATAGGCCTCACACTCAGTGGAGAATTGCTTGCCCAAAGCACCGCAGTCATGGCGGGGGAGGGGGGGGGACCAGGCTCGGGCTGCCTCCAGGTCAAGCCAACTCTGTCGCTGGGTCTGCAGACACAGAGCGAGAAAGGAGCCAAGCACTCGACCGAGGCTGGCCTCGCTCAGCATCCTCAGAGGAGCACCCCGTGCAACCCTTCCCTCCGACCAAAGGCACCCCAGCGCCCACCTCTTCCATCCAGGCTGGCCTCCCCTTCCCTTCCACGTGTTTCACGCCCCCACTCGCTGCATCCAGGCCCGGGGTCCTCCGGCCCCCGACTACCGCAGCCAAACCCAAGCAGGCGAGGCGAGCTGAGAAGGGGATGACAGCTCCAGCGGGGGAGGCCGCGTCCGACGGTCTCCTCGGAAACAAAGAGGAAGGGATGCCGACAGCGAGCGGGGCCGGCTCAATCTAGTCGGAGAAACGGATCCGGGGGGTGGGGGGGGCGGCAGCAGGCGTGCGGCGCCTTGCGAGAACAGGGCCGCCCCCCATGCAAAGCCTCGCGGCGGTTCATGGAAAATTCTTCGGATCTGGCAGCCTCCCTTGCCCCCGGGAGTTTCCTCATCGGCCGCCCCTCCCCTCAGGAGCCTCCCGCCACCCCTCACCACTCACCCATCGCCGCCGCCTCCGGGCCCGGCCCCGCCGGCCACCGTCCGCCTCGCTTTTTCCCAGCCAACTCGGGCTTTCCGACTCCGCCACCTGACAACGGACATGACGCAGGGCCACGTCACCGCCTCTGGCCGCGCCCCCTCACCGCCCTCCGGGAACCGAGAGGCAGGAACTGTCGCCCACCATCTTGTCTCCGGAAAAGGCGTCCCCGCCCCAAAGACGGAGCTTGCTTCTGATTGGTTAAAAGACTCAGCGAACACTCGGAGAAAGTGACGGTATTGGCGGACATAATAGAATTCTCCTGTCCCCGCACCCCCCCTCTTTTGGAGCACCGCCCTTCTCGCAAGTCCTCGCCTCCAAAGGGAGGGGAACGAAACGCCTTAGAGCACCGGGGGAGGGGGTGGTTTGCCCAGTCACGTGATGCAAAAGCCTTCAAACAAATTGTTTGTATGGGAAGTGTCTACTACATACTGTCATGGTTATTATCAAACGCCCTTTACTCCCTCTTCCCCCTCTATGAGAGGCAGATGATGCATCAGCACCGGAGCTGGACTGGATTTGAAGGGGTGCAAGGGTGGCACTATACACTAATTGTTGCGCTGGCTCTATATTTGCTTTTGGAATTGAATCTCCTGGACCAAAATACCATTTTGGTTATATGTGCCTGATTTGGGCACAAGGTGATGCCACATGAGGCTTATTATACAGTACATCCTTGCCTTGTGTCACAGACGTTTATCAGAATATAATTTCCACTTTGTCCTATATTGGTTAATAATAGTATTGCAACAATTGAGACTATGTGCAACATTTATGCTTGACCACTGACAAAGGCCAGTTGGCCGAAACGTGTCTATTTTAGGGTGGCATAAGGTCCCAATTGTGCATATTGTACGATTTGTAATTTTTATTGAGGCTATATTTGAGCTTATAATTGTTTTTAAACTGATTTGTAATAAATACATGTTTTTGATAATTTGTAATATTTATGTTGTATATTTATTGATTTTAACACTGCCCCCCCCCCTCATTTGTATTCATTTAACCTTCGGGTTCTTAATTAACCCTGGCTCCCCTCCATCTTCTCGCGGGCATCCTACTTACAATTTTAGAAAGCTCCTTGGAGGGCATAAATTGGCTTGGCTCCCATTGTCTCTATCCAAGACTCCCTGGCCAGTCTGGATCTCTCCACTATGTTTTCCTGTGGCTGCTTGACTGGCTGTGGTGAACTGTCTGGTCTTCAACAGGGAATGTGAAAAATGAGAGAATGTTCTCCACTTTCCACCGACAATTTTGAGTGCTCCATTCCAGAGGGAGAATGTTGGGCGATGGGCCTTTTGCCAGTCTGAGCACTGGCCACTGCTTCCACCCTTGGAGGCAGCCCTACAGCTACCTCTGGCTATTTGACCTCCATAGGTGTAAAAGGGTTTGACTGCTGATCTATGGAAGGCACAAGCCAATGGCTGTACTTCACCATGCAGGATTTGGCACCAGGTACCAAATTTTCCACCTTGACCTGGATGGCCCAGGATAGTTTAATCTTGGAAGCTAATCATGGTTGGTCCTGATTTGTACTTGGATGGGAGACCACCAAGGAAGTCCAGGATGGTGAGGCTGGCAATGGTAAACCACCTGTTTGTCTCCTGCCTTGGAAACATCATGAGGGGTCACCTTAAGTTGGCTGTGACTTTGACGGCACATTCCACCACCACCACCAAATTTTCCCACATGCGTACTGTGACCATATCACAAAGCCACAAAATACATATTGTCATGATCCTGAGACTATGACTAGCAAATGTGGGGTTGAGAGGCACAGAATGACTGTGTACACACCTCCACACAGACCTCACCTTCTCCTTCATGCTGCAGAGCCAAGAGATGTGCACAGACTCTTTGCTAAGGAGCTGTTGATGCAACAGTCCTGTGGGTTTAAATGAGAGTGCAACAGCAAGGCAAATGAGGCCTTGCAGATGGGCAAAACCCCTCCAAAGATAGACACAGCAAAGAAAAGTGGTCCCAGATAGTTACATCCTCTGTACAGCTGCTGTGCTCCTGCCTACTCATGGCCTTTGGATCAATTACAAAGTGAATCATTTTGCAAACTTGTACCTGCCCTGCCAAGGAAAACTACCAAGCTTTAGTGGAGTCACATGCATGACCTGGGGTGGAGGATGAGGCCCTACCTACCTATCTTGGGCTGGGGACTTGAATGGCTCTCTAGTTACCAGCTTTTCTTCCAGGCATTTTACCTCTGCTTATTAGGCAAAAGAACAATAGCTATGATGTGCAGGCACCTAGGACAACTAGCAAGAGGGTGCTGCGCATCAGATTGCCACTTCTCTATACTGGCAGTTAAGTCCTTCATAGAGCCTGCTTTCATACTTGCAGGCTGCAGCTCTTATGCCCAGACTGCATCATCTTCCACTATCAACTGTCCTTCTTACCCTTGCATCCCTTTCTTCCCACCCAAGGAAGTTAGCTCAACTATCATAGGTTAAATCTTCAGCTATGTTTTCCCCTCTCCACTTTCAATTGTAGAAGGGAAAGGGGCAAATAGTAAATCTAGTTCAGCCCCTGACACAAAGGTAGGACCAGCTCCCGATAAGTCAACCCCACACACTCCAAAGCGGAGCGTGCCACAATCAGAGACAATTTGGACCAAAGACACCAGCAAAATTAACAAGTCAAGCCTTCCACAGCAGAGGATGGCTGAAAACAGACCCAACCCTTTTAAAGAATTCTAAAGAACAGAATTGTCATCTATTGCAGTGTTTATTGCATGTATCACCTTTTTCACTGCAATGTAATACAGAACTTTTTTTCTAACTTCTCAAGCTTGCTCCCCTCTTCTACATGTCTCTGTCTTTTGCATGTAAATCGGTGTTAAAAGTGCCCTCTCCCCAAAAGGGAGATTAAAAAAAACACAGTTGGATTTCCCCCGTTCTAGCCCATTTTTATTTCTATGACAGTATTTACTCATGTTTTTTCTGTTACCATGGCTTGATTATAAGACTTTCTAACTTTGAGATGGCATCATTATAAATTGTCCTTTTGAAGCCATCTATAATTCATACTACCCTCCAGTAGAGAGTTGTTGTTAAGCTGCATGAAGCTTACTTGCAGAGCCCACAAATTATAGGGAATATTCACCTAAAGAGTAATTAACACGTGGAATTCACAGCCGCAGGAAGCAGTGGTGGTTACAATCAAGAGGGGATTGAATAAACATATGAAGCAAAGATCCATCAGTGGCTATTAGCCACAATGTATAGAAGAAACACTATGTCTGGGACAGTGATGCTCTGTATTCTTGTTACTTGAGGGGTAACAGTGGGAGGGCTTCTGGAGTTCAGGCCCCACTGGTGAATCTCCTGATGGCACCTGGGTTTTGGCCACTGTGTGACACATAGTGTTGCACCGGGTGGGCCACTGCCCTGATCCAGCATGGCTTCTCTTATGTTCTTAACATTCACATTGATAAATAAAACTGATAAATAAATAAATAAATAAATAAATAAAAGTTTACCGCCCGGGGGGGGGGGAGAAAAAAAATTCACATTTTTAAATTTACATATATTCACGAATTGATTGCTTCTTGTACAGGTATATAAGCATTATTCAGTATCTACAAAATCTTTTTTAAAAATGGAGAACATTTTTAGGTGTTTATTAGAATTTACTTATTTATTTAATTTTTATCCCACCCTCCCTGCCTTTGAATATATAAATGAAATAATACTTTATTTCTTGTCCCTGATATATGTGGTAGAGTTGCCCCTTCCTTTTGTTATATTCTTTAAGTGCTTTAAATATCAGGGAGGCTATTTACATTTAGCTCGATATATTTGTGATTAAGAAGATGCAGAAAATGCTCTGGGATGTAAAACATATGTTTTGGGGTTTTGTTTGAGGTTTTCTAGTTAATGATCAGGTGCAAGCAGAGAGCTATGACAGTTTAGCCTGCAATAATCTGGTTAAACTACCAAATTTTGGTTTAACACACTGTTGTTGGTCAGGCTGGTTAGAAACAGTGTGCAAAAGGACAGCAGACCATAAACCACACACGGATGGATGAGTATTGATACAAACGTTTATTTGTAAAAATAAAAAACAAAACCAGAATTTATCAAAATAGAACTAGAGCTATAGAAGCATAATCCATTAGAAACTTCAGAGAATTTTAATGTACAAAAAGACTCAGTACTGTTATCCTTAAAAAAATAAATAGTGAAATCCCTGAAATACCAAAGAAGGTATAGCCAGCCAAGGAAAGATGGTGAAGCCCTAACAAAAGAGAGTGGATTTCAGTGAAGAATAACCAGCAAGGTAAGGGCATGCTGCCAGTCCCATTCATTTGTCCTTTGGCCTAAGAAACTCCTTCCTCCCCTTGTCTCGGCCACCAAAGGTGCGTACTCTGTGGATGAGCTGCAGCTGTTTCTCAATTGTGGTCCTGATATTCACATCATCAGGGATGTGGATGTAGCGAACGTTCCTTCCTGTCACAAAGAGGTTGTCCATCCAGGAGGAGCAGCCATGCTGGTCTGTGAATGTTGCTTCAGCCAAGCACACGTTCATGAAAGCATCAACATTAGTGATGCGGCCTACAGCCACACTCTCGTTCCGCAGCTCCACTGTGGTGACCTGTCCATGGAGGCCCTGCAGCAGGATCACCAGACTGTTCTCAGAGATGGTGCGCTCCTTAACAGAGTGGCTGATCTCCATAGTGAAGCACCATCTAATGATTAGAGCAAAAACATACGCCTGTCAAATTCAACACCTTGACACGCATCCAGGAGCATTACTATCCATGGCTGTAGAGTTGTGTTCTCCAAGCATAGACTTTGGTGAACAGCAAAGCCACAAGGACTTATAAAAGAAAACCCAGTGGATGGCTGCCATACCTGCTGTGGCCTGAAGCCTTGACAGCCAAGGGCCCCAGCCACCACCCCCTATAGATTTATAGGGGGTGGTGCCCCAGCACAGCCTGCATAATTCAGGGTTCTGAAAGTCTGCTCGATCAGTCCCCATTGGGGTTGACAACCTCCAGGTGGGGTCTGGAGATCCTCCAAAATTACACCTGACTACAGAGATCAGCTTCCCTATAGAAATCAGCTACTCTGGTCCCTATGGCATTAGAACCTTCTGAGGTCCTTCCCCTCCCCAGGGTCCACCCCCAACTATCCAGGAAGTTCGCAGCCCAGAGGTGGCAACCGTACTTCCCCCACAGCAACCAGCAGCCGCTTCGCCCACGAACACAAGCAGACCCAGCCTGCAAAACTCGGCTTGTCTCGGCAGTTCCCAAAGCACGAGCCAGGGCCAAGCGTGCAGGCGGTACCAGCGCCTCGGCCAGGGAAGCCTAAGCGCAGGCTGGCTCCGCAGGCTCAAACCCAAAGCCCGTCCAGAGGGGGCTCATTCCCGGCAAGCGGGGCAGCGGCGCCGCAGCAGTCACAAAAGGTGATAGACTGCCTCGGAAGCTAAAGGCTCCACGGAATGCTACCAGCGCCGCCGCCCTCCCCGCCTACCGACCTGCGCGTTTTCAGCCGAGGAACGTTCCAAGAATCCCCTCTCAGGGGCCCTCGGGAGAAACCTGGGACACCGAACACCAACTTCCGGCTTGAGGGCCCCCGCGAAGTACAATTTCCGGGTCAAAGCCTCACGCCCTTGAGAACCAATAGGCGGAGTTTAGGAATGACAACGTCTTGCTATACGCTCTCCGCTTCCTCTCAGACTAGATATCTAGGCCGATGCTCCGGCTCATGCTGCGCCCCCTGGAGAATGAGAACGGTAAAACAAGAACCTTCCCTGCAAGGGGTACCCTTTCCTGGGTAGAAGAAGAGATTGGATTTGTATCCTGTCCTTCACTTGGAGTCTCGGAGCGGCTTACAATCTCCTTTCCCTTCCCCTCCCCACAACAGACACCCTGTGAGGTAGGTGGGGCTGAGAGAGCTCTGACACAAACTGCCCTTTCAAGGACAGCTCTTGTCAGAACTATGGCTTGCCCGAGGTCATCCAGCAGGTGCAAGTGTAGGAGTGGGGAATCAAACCTGGTTCTCCCAGATTAGAGTCCGCACACTTAACCACTACACCAAACGGGCTCTGTAAGACTCTCCCAGACCTTTGCAAAAAATAAAAATTAAGCAGCTGTATAAAGGCTGTAAAATAAACTCCCTGCCAAGGATGGCAATTCACAGGAGGAGCCACCATAGGGACACTTTCCTCTCCTTCCTCCTTGTCCAGTGTGCAGAGAACGTAAATGCCATTCTTTCTCAACAAGCCCATTGCATGAATGTTACCATCTGGTTGCCCTGGTTTGGGAGGAAGACCGACCTTTCCCGTCCTGCCTGGAAGAGGCTTTGCAACCTTCAGGTGCGTGCTGCTCAGGTGATGCAACCTGTGCTGTGCTGGCACCGTTTGGTTTTGGGATTCACTTTTGAAACATCACATGGGGAAGGCAGGCCTGTCTACAGGTGCATCACTCAGCTGGGGCCATGCTACACATAGTTTCTGATGGCAATTCAAGTGGCTGTTGACTGGGCCTTTTTCGTGGGGACATCCTCAGCAGGGATCTCCTAGAGGGGCGGGTTTACTCTGGTTCTGAGGCAAGTGGTAAGGGTCATTTTGCCACTAGAATCTGGAGTTTATTTAGTCCTCCCAGAAGCATCTTCCAAAGACAGATGTGGAACCATGTGCCAACATAAACATTTCAACCAAACAATGATATGGGATTGGTATATGCTTAACATGTACAGATGAACATGTACAGTTGCCCATCTCCAGGTGGGGTCTGAAGATCTCTCAAAATTACACCTGATCTCCAGACCCCAGCAATCAGTCCCCTTGGAGAACATGGCTGCTTTGGAGGGTGGACTCTATGGCATTATACTCTGCTAAGGTCCCACCATTCTGCAAATCCTGTCTTTCCCAAGCTCTACCCCCAAATCTCCAGGAATTTCCCAGCTGTGATTTGGCAACCCTAGGAAGCCATGATTATTCATGTTCTAGTTACATCCAAATAAGCCTCTGCTATGTGTTCTGGATGGGACTGCCTTTGAGACCGTTCTGAAGCTTCAAGTACTTGAAAGTGCATCAGCAGTATTACTATCTGGTATAAGTAGTGGCATATATTTCACCTCTGTTTGTGAGTTTAGCTCAACGTGTGGTTATGACCTTTAAAGTTTTCCTAGTACGGTTCCTGTATCTTTGACAGCCACCTGACAGCCAAAGATCATCAGATGCAACTTTTCTTACCATGGAGATGAAGAAGGGCTGTCGCTCGTTGGTAGAGGGACTGCTTTACATGCAGAAAATCCCAGGTTCAACCTCCAGCATCTCCATTTAAAAAAGGATCAGGTAATAGGTGAAGTGAAAGACCTCTGTCCTTGAGACCTGGGAGAACTGCTGCCAATATGAGTAGATGATATTGGTACTGATGGACCAATGGTCTGACTCAGTATAAGGCAGCTTCACATGTTAAATGGATGAGGACAGTGTCATTGGTTGAAGTCCTGGCTGCATCAAGAGCCGTTTCAGGGAAAAAATGGAAAATCAAGTAAGAGATTATAGGGGTTTTTTCCATCCTTGCAATGCATGCTTATTGGCAAAGTGAGGAGTGTGTTACGTATACAGAATCAGGGTGTGGTGTTGGAGTTAACTGTCCATTGCTGGTATCTCTGAAGAGGCACATCTGTAAAGGGAATACAGAGATCTCATCTAGACTGAGGTAAAGTGTCAAGAAAAGGCAGACATGCTAAAAATGCCACATAGCCCACTGTTGGACCCTCCCCAACTGCAGGAGGAGCATAACCATTTTAGATGTAGACTGCAGGTTTTGATGGACAGCAGTACAATCAGTAAGGTTGTTTTTGGTCTTTATTACTGCAGCAGAAAGAGAATGTGGCTGTTACATCAGTCCAACCTCCTTGCCAGGTTTGGCCTCCACACTGAAAATGAAGGAATTGCTCTTTCTCCTCATGGTAGGAGGCACTCACAAGCTAATCAGCAACACTGCACAGTTGGCATTTCTAATTAGAAAGACACGGGGGGTGGGTGGAATCAGGGTCTCTGTCACGAACACACATGAGTTAAAGGCAGGATGAATGTCCACTTCCACTGCTCAAGCATCTAACCAACCCCATGGTACAAACTAGGCCATGACAACAGAGGAAGGAGGCTGCTAAGTGACTCTCCTCCATTTCCCCAGAGAGAAAGGATGGGTCAAATGTGCCTCAGAGCCATCCAGCTTGTGTAACCCAACACAAATGTACTGCCTTGGCGACCATTCTCTTCCACAGGAGGCTGATGGCTGAGCTCTGCGAGAAACTGGGGGTGCCATTCTGCCCAGACAGTGCCACTCCCCAGAGCCAGGGCTTACAGCTCGTCCATCATGGCTAGTAAGTCGGCTCCCTTGCTGGTGCTTTGCCTGGGCTGCTCTGCCACCTCAAACTCTTCCATGATGCGGCTCAGCTCCTCATTCCGCTCTTGGTCCTATTTAAAAAAGTCACATCATTACAAAGACCATCTTAAAAGAAAAAAAAACATTGAAAATGTAACAATCCGGTGCTATCCCAACCATGTAAGAAACAGATGCTTGGACTCTCTACATTAGTTTTTTGAAAACCATCATTTAAAAATTAATGTAACCTCAAATAACTTCAGAAACTGCACAATGTGGCTGAGGAGCTCCAGGTTTTGCAGACTTTTCCTCAAACAAAACTGTTGTATGGCCAGTTGCATTTACTGGGGGCATCCAAATAAGGTTTTAAAGACTGGCACCAAAACTCGAGTCACTGGGACTTTTACCTGTGGCAAGACAGCAAGAAGCTGTCCAAGTTCTTGACCACTAAATTCCAGGAACACAAAGCCATGGGAACTCCCTACCACAAGATGTAGCGATAGACACTGGCTAAAATTTCTGATAAAGCAAACCCAAGAAGTCCATGGAGAAATAAGTCGACCTATGGTTAATGACCATAGCAAAACAGACCTTCCACACACGGCTATCATAGGAGAAAACCACACGGAAGGGCAGTCTCTTGGATGCAGTGCTTCCTGGAAGCACCTGCCTGGTTACTATTGCAGACGGTGTGCTGGACTTTTATTCTGATTCAGCTAGCCTCTTCTGTTGCATTCACAGAATGCGGGGTCCCCCCTATATATACAAAGGGATTCAATCTGAGCCGCATCTTCATGTAATCATTTGTGCAGGCAGTTCACATTAAACACAGATTCACCTGCATGTTCTGTGAAACTGAAAAGCTTGCATAGCATTACCTACACCAAGTGTTGTTTTCTGGAATGCATGTGGTATTAAATGTCTATATCAGTGCAACCCACACAAACTTTATTCAGTTACTGAACTAAAGCCAGCCCCCCCCCCCCGAAATGAGATGCTAGAGAGCAATGATGGCATACCTGGTCTGCTTGTATGCTGACAACTTGATAAGAAAGCTCCTCTGGGCGTGTCAGTGCTGCGTATCTTGCAGGAAAGAATAAAGATACCTAGATGAATTTAATTTGCTGCCCAACAGGATGTTACAAAGATGATTTGTCTGAGAAGCTGCTCTTGGTAGCTTTTACCATACTTCTCTCCCTGCAATTTTACTATGCTTAGCGCATATTGCCATATCTGGTAAGAATCCTCTGCGACCCTGGTGCTAGTCAAAGAATGTGCTGGCGTCCTGACCTGGATAGCCCAGGCAAGCCTGCTTTTGTCAGATCTCGGAAGCCAAGCAGGGCCAACCCTGGCAAGTAACTGGGAGACTTCCAAGGAATACCAGGGCTTGGGGTGCAGAGGCAGGCAATAACAAGCCACCTCTCTGAAATGTCCAAACCCCACTAGTGGTCGCCAGAAGTCACCATGACTTCCAGGCACACAAGCATATACACACACACACAAACCCCACAAAAAAGAGAAGGTGGTGGCTTTTCCAGTAGAGGGGGCACACAAACACCACTCCCCACTTTTCTCCCCTAAAGCCACCCCTTGCCTGCACCTGCACCACACCAAAATTGAGACTGATCGTACTCTTCCTCTTCATCTGTGGTGAAGAGATTCAGCCGGAAGCCTGCCTCGGTGCCCAGGGGCTTCTTTATCTCCAGGCCGCCCATCAGCCTGGCCAAAAAATTCAGCTCTTCTTTAGCCAGAGGGTTGGGAGCGGCATTCTCCTGTGTGGAACAGCAATGGGATTATTACACAGAGGGCTGCGGCGCAGCTACATGGTTGGCACCGGGAACTGCTCCCGGCTACAGCCGCCTCTTCGTTCTTTTTAGGGGAGTTTTCAGGGGTGCAAGGGACTTGATTCGGGGGCCCCGCTCATGGCAGCAAGCAGGTGGAAGCCCTGGATAATCCCAGAAGCAAGGAACGAAGCAGAGCAGTTATGGCAGCCATAACTGCACCATCTGTGAACGCCCCAAATTAAGAGAGTTATTTTGAGCCTCATCCATAACACCAATGAAGATATGCACTGTCAGTACCTGTAAAAGCAACACTGAAGAAACCGACGATTCTTTGGTTAAGACCCTTTAAAGTGTTAAAAAGACAAGGAAAGAGGGGTGGATGTCCCCCCCTCCTTCCTCCGCAGAGCAGCTGGGACGATTACGAAAAGAAAGCTAAGCTAAATATATCCTGGGGTAAAGAGGGACTGTTGTTTGAGCTTCTACAAAAAAGATTACAAAATTTTCTTTGAAAAAAGAAAGAAACAAAGAGAGATATTTAGAGTTGAATTCCTTACTTTGTAGCAACTTTTTATGACTTTGTAGCAACTTTTTATGACGTCATGCTTCACTGCTGAGAACGGAGGAGCCTATTATGTCTAGAGTTTATTGATGAGCTGCAAAGCACTTGACTCGTGTTGAAGGATTCTTGGTTGCTAATATTTCCATGAGAACTACTATCTGGTAAATGTGGTCAGCTCTGAAGAGATTATTGACAAATAATCTGCAGAAATTTGGGGTTTTGCTGGGTTGAACTGAGTCTTCTGTTATCCCATTAAAAATGCCAGATGATGGATGTTTAGACAGCCTCGCAGAAACTAATCTGTTGCAGTTGTCTTGGGAGAAGCTTCAGTTTATAATTGTTGATACAGTTAATCTGGCAGTTAAAAAGGCGATCCGCGGTGCCCTGGGAGGACCAGCTACCCCATCCTGCACTTTCTGGGCCCGCGGCAATCCGCGGCACCCCGGGAGGACCAGCCACCCGGCCCAGCGCTTCCTGGGCCCGCGGCAATCCGTGGCGCCCCAGGAGGACCAGCCACCCTGTCCTGCGCTTTCCAGGCCCACAGTGATCCGCGGTGCCCCGGGAGGGCCAGCTACCCCGTCCTGCACTTTCTGGGCCCGCAGCGATCTGCGGCGCCCCGAGAGGCCAGGCACCCCGTCCTGCGCTTCCCGCGCCCGCGGTGATCCACAGTGCCCCGGGAGGCCCAGCCACCCGGCCCAACGCTTCCCGGGCCCGCGGCAATCTGTGGCGCCCCAGGAGGACCAGCCACCCTGTCCTGCGCGTCCCAGGGCACGCTGTGTGTGGGGTGGGGAGGCCATGCATGCATTCTTTCCCTCCTTGGCAACACTGCCCAGCAGCCCTTTTGGGTTTGCCGCGGCCAGCGCCATAGGGGAGAGGCAGAAGGCTGTGTGTGTTTGTGTGCGCGTGCGGGGTGGGGAGGCCATGCATGTCCTCCCATCCCCCCTTGGCGACACGGCCTGGTGTGTGTGTGTGTGTTGGCAGCGGCACGCGAGGGTTGTGGTGGAAAGGACGTGAGTGACCTCTGCCTCGCTTTCTCTTTTCCCCATCTTTCTCTCACTCACTCTCTTTCTTCCCTTCCTCTCTCTTTCTGTATTTATCTCTTTCCCCTCTGTCGGTCTGTCTCTCTTTCTCTCTCACTGTCTCTCTCTTCCCCAGCCTCTCTGCCCCCCCATCCTTCTCTGTCTGTCCCTTTTTCTCTGTGTCTCCCCACCCCATCTCTCTCTCTTTCTTTCTCCGTTCCTCTCTTAACTATTAAAAGGAGATGGCAAAGACCTCTGCCTGAGATCTGCTGCCAGTTTGAATGGAAAATAGTGAGTCTGATGGACTGAAAGGATGGTCAATGAGAGTCATATAGGAACACACTGTTCTTGTTTTAATGAGATTTGTACTAAGAACTAATAAGAGCTTTAAAAAAAGGTGATTGTTTATTTTATAAATTATTTTAACATCTCATGTATTGTGCAAACAACTCTGGAAGACAGGTTAAGCTGGTTTTGATTGTTTTCCTGATTTATTGCAGAAAAAGCAAAAGCATACTAACTTGATCTGTATTTTCATGCTTGTTGTAGGGTAGCTTCCCTACAAGAGCAAAGAAAACCTAATGTGTCTTTAGTCAAAGTGTAAAGCTGGCTTGCCAGCTCTGAGTTGGGAAATACCAGGAGATTTTTGGGGTGGAGCTTGAGTGGTGGATGTTGCCTTCTGACACACTTCCGGTGATGTCAGGGTGTGTGGCACAGGCTAATGTTATGCTAATGAGTTATGCTAATGAGCTCCTGCAGCTCTTTTTCTACGAAAAGACCCCTTTAAATAAGGCTGGTCTAGGGAACTTTTGTTTATGTGTAACTGACTAAAATGGACTGAGGAATATCTAATCCCTTTTTTATATATATATTCATAGAACTGTAAATTATAAAAGTGATTTAAGGAATTTTTATACATGTGTAATTGATTAACACTGGTTATAATTGGGTTTGTCTTTTTTTCCTATACATCTACAAAAATACAGCCCATATTAAAAATAATTAAGGAAAGATTAATTTTGAATCTCTTCGAAAGTCTTATAATAGATGATATGGTTTAGAGAATGCTTATGAATGTTTATTTGAATAAGATTGGTTAGAGAAGTATATTTAAAAATTGTAACTAATATTTAGGTAAGACCTAAAACAGAGGGTTGCATAAACTGTAAATTTATAAAGGTATTAAGGACTGGTTCAAGGATCTCATGAGCATATGTAATTGGGGAAGATTTAGGGATTATTGGTATATTTAATTTTTTTTTAATATAGATTATTTTAAAATGTATAAGCAAGGTTGATATTGAGAATTCAGATTGAAATATGAGGTAGGCTAGAGAATTTTTGGGGGGGACGTTAAAACAATTAGAATAAATAGAATGAGAAAAGAATTTGACTATGAATGGGGAATTGTATAAATTTAGTTAATACTTAAATGTATCTTATAGAAGATTATTGTAGAATGCTTAGACAATGTTTAAACAGAAGAAACATGGTATGTGAATCTATAGAGTTGCAAAAATTATAGTTCTATGTGCTTATGAAAATGTAAGATACATTTAAATTTAGATTTATAGAAAATGGTAATGAAATGTTTTGACAGCGCTTAAACATTAAAAATAGGTAGTGTTTAATAAAGGCTTGTAAAGGTATTAGTTTGCTATAAGGTTGAATTACTGGCAATTAGATATATATGTATGAGGTAGTTTAAGAGATATAATGTTGTTATTATTACTCTCATGTATGTTTTTTGTTTATCTATCAGTGTTGTTTAAAATGAAAAAAATTATTATGAAAAAGGGATTATTACACAGAGAAGCAGATAAATAAACAAAGTGGCCCTGGGAGGTCTCTGCCTGTCAGGGTTGCTGCCTCCTAGTTCAGCAAACCAGCAGCTCTAATAACCCAGATTAGCCCAATCTCATCAGACCTCAAAAGCTAAGCAAGGCTAGTACTTGGATGGGGAACCACCAAGGAAGACTGAGTCTGCTGTGCAGAAGAAAGCAACGGTAAGCCACCTCTACTTATCTCTTGCCCTGAAAACCCCATGAGGTGGAACTTCATAGGGTCACTATGAGTCAGTTGCGACTTGATGGCATACTTCACTTTGTCTGGCCTTCAGAGGGAAAGGAGTTTTACATGGGAAGAATATATACCTGCATCATGAAACCACTTCCAAAATAACTTGGGCAGCCAAAACTTCTATCAAGCTATCTGCTGCATCTCAGAGAGTGGGATGTAACACCATGGGATATGTCAGGGCTCAGTTGATGATTGTACAGAGTCAACAAGATAAACATCTTGTTCCTGAGACTCCTCCCATTCTCCTCTCTAGAGATCTCTTGGAAAAGGAGATGCTTCTCTCCTGCCCTAGGGGTAGGGTTACCAGGTCTCCCTGGCCACTGGCAGGGGATGGGAATTACGGTTGCCAGATCTAGGCTGGGAAACTCCTGGAGATTTGGGGATGGAGCCTGGGGAGGACAGGGACCTCAGTGGGGTACAATGCCATAGAGTCCACTCTTCAAAGCATCCGTTTTCTCCAGGGGAACTGATCTCTATTACCTGGGGATGAGCTTTAATTCTGGGGGGATCCCAGGTCCCACCTGGAGGCTGGCATCCCTACCGGGGGGGGGGGGGTTATCCCTGCCCTTCCTTCCTACTTCTTTCCTGCCTTGATTCTTTCCCAAGTCCTTCAGAGCTCTTAAGAAAACACCTATACCAGACTACAGAAGTTGCGTCTGGCAACTGAGACAACCAGATCACGAGGGAGGGCTTGGAAAATGAAATCAAACCGACCAAGTTGAGTAATGTTCTGATTAAAGTTGTTCCATCTTGAGACAAGGGAGCTGCTCTTATCACAAAGGGATTGCACAGTAGAAGTGTTTGTGTGTGAAGCAATACTCCAAGCAGGTTCTAAAGACAGCAGTGCTTGAGAAGGTAAAATACAAGAGACCTACCTTTATACGGGATGCCGTATTTTTGGCTGTTCCTGACATGTGTGTCTCTACAGGCCGGCTGATACTATACCTAGAGGCAAACAGAAGGAGCATTAGGCAGACAGGAGGAAAGGGGCCAAAAGCCAAGTACAGAGGTGTACCTTGCATTGCTTACATGTTTGTTCCTAGTTTAATGACTCTGTCTCCATAAAGATCGAATGAGCCTTCTCGGAGTGGAAGGAGATAATTCCCACCATGGACAAACTCAGTCCTTTTAATTTCATCTCCTTTACTGTTGAAAATCCTGCAAAAACACAAAAGCAAAATAGAATCACCAATTTTACAGCACAGGCTTCTGGAGCTCTCAAAAGTCTTTATCTTCAAAAGGATCTGCAAGGAGTGGCTCAACTGGAAGAGGAGGAGGAGGAGGAGGAGGAGGAGGAGGAGGAGGAGAGTTGGTTTTATACTCTGCCCTTCACTACCCAAGAAGTCTTGGAGCAGCTTACAATCACCTTCCCTTCCTCTCCCCACAACAGACACCTTGTGAGGCAGGTGGGACTGAGACAGCTCTGAGAGAACTGTGACTGACCCAAGGTCACCCAGCTGGCTGCATGTGGAGAAGTGCGGGATCAAACCCAATTCTCCAGATGAGAGCCCGCTGCTCTTAACCACTACACCACACTGGCTCTCACTGCTTAGTAATGTGTACTATTCAAGCAGCTGAGGATAATGAGTTTGCCAGTCTAGGGCATACCATGAAACTGTGCTCTACTGAAACAGACCATTGGTGCATCAATGTCAGTATCGTCTACTTAAGACTGGCAGTGGCTCTCCAGTGGAGGTCTTTCACAACACCTGCTTCCTGATCCTAAGGGGTTCCAATCTCCAGGTGGTGGCTCTGGGTAACAGAGATCAATTTATCTGGAGAAAATGGCTGCTTTGGAAGGTGGACTCTATAGCATTATACCCCATTGAGGTCCCTCCCCAGGCTCCACCCACCCAAATCTCCAGGTATTTTCCAGCCTGGAGCTGGCAACCCTACTGATTCTATGCTGGTCATTGTACCTGGGATCTTCTGCATGCCAAGCTGATGCTCTTCCACTGAGCCAAAGCTCCTTCAGGTACACTCTTGCTCCTATTTAGGATAGCAGCTTTTCTTAGACAGCCCATCTAACGTGACACTCAGGATGGGGTCTCCCTCCAGGATGGGAAAGGTTGCACCAGCCCTACCACCAGCGATGTACAGAAAACAGCTTGAAAGAGTCACCTGATAAGCCCTGGAACCTCTGTTCCCCAAGGAACTGGACCAGAGGTCGGGAGTACAAAGCGGCCATTGGAGTTCTGCACTTTATCTTTTAGGAAGATGGAGACCTGTGGTGGAAGACAATCCCCAAAGTTTTGTCAGGGAAACGGCTCCATTTACAAATTAACGTATGCTTCATTTCGGCATCTCATTATGCAATCCCCCTTCCCCAGTTTTACTGGAATGGCTTTTCAGAAATACCTACCCTGATGTGCATGTCCTGAAAGAATATGAGCAGTGTTTGCCGAATGAGCTGAAATTCGCCGTCAGAGAGTGAGCCGTACGTCTGGGAAAAAGATTGTGACATGAGCAACACACAAGGTCTCTGTTTTAGTATTATTCATATTTATAAAGGCCATTTTAAAGTGCTTCATGTATCCCTACATCTGCTGGTAAACATTTCACTCTTCTAATTTCAGTGACAGGCCACTTAAGTACAACTTCCCAAGACCACCCAGTGGATCTCTAGCTGCTTTTTGAATCTTAAACCAGGGTCTCCCAGGTTCAACCATCAAGAAATGAACATGGAAATCTGGATCCAAATAAAAAGTGCTTATTTCACAAAACGTGGGCTCTGTTTCAGAATGGCACTAAGTTCTGAATGGGTTACAACTTCTGTATTACAATAGTGACATTATATTTACAGTTGCTGATCTACTGCTGCCTGCTGCTTACATCCCCAAATGTTGCTTTCTTTCATCATTGGTCATTCCATCCCCATTTGATATTCTCCTCTCTGATCCTTTTATAATTCCATTTTGGAAATTTGTATCTACTTTGTTATTTGGGAAGCTGCCACCTTTTCTGTAATCTTGCACGACTGCAACTAGAGAAGGCCCAAAAGCCATAAAAAGAAGGTTTGCGCGAGCTGGCTTATAGTTCTTCTGTAATTATAACCAATGGTTGAACAAAACGCAGAAGGCATGCTGTACACTTACATCAATGAGCTGCCGAAAGGTTTCATCAACTTGATTCAGAATGCTGGGTGAATCGAGGATAAAATCCTTGATGGCATCCAGGTGATTGAAAGTGACGAGCAGAATGTCTTTAGGCCGGGGGCAGAGTAGAACCTGGTACTTGAAGGCCATGGTCATGAGATCATAGAGCTACAGGGGAAAAAATGCAAGTAGTATCTAGTTTGATCACAGAACCCAGGCCAGTTAGCTAAGCCGCCATATCTGCAGTGCAGTTCTGAGTAGAGTTACACTCTTCTGAACTTCAATGGACTTAGAAGGGGTAACTGATAACTGGTTTAGTGTGATTAGCAGAAATTCTATTTCCCCCCCCCCCCCCGACACAAATTCCTGGATGAAGATTTTTGCAGCCAGAAAATACTTTTATCAAACTTTTGATAAAATTCAGGCAATATATTCTGCAGTTCACATCCAGAGAATATCAGTGAGAAAATTAGACAAGCAAGGACATTAAAAAACAACAACCCCGAACACTCATGAAGCAATCCTGATGTGTGCCTGTGCTGATGCACATGTGTGCCTAGCCATCCTCAGAAACACTCCCATGCATGAAACCACTCTCCTGTTACCCTGTGGCTGCATGATTCATAAAACAGACCCACACCTGATTGTGGTCAGCCTGTTGCCCATTTGGATCCAATGGGTTTAGTCAGCCAGCAGGTTTCCCCCAATGAAAACTGATTTCTGAAATTGCTAGGTGATAGGAATTAAGTGGAACGAGGTCATCTGCAGGGATCCAACAAGCAATGAAAGTGCACCCAGCATGGTGCACCAAAGCCACTGTATGACTCCATCACACATGCAAGCCCCACTGTTTCATCCATTTTATCACATCTTTCTGAAGCTGCTGGACTGTGATGGTGCAGTAAATCCTCTGCAAGGAAGAGTCTGGGCTTTGATCATAGTCCCACTATGCTGCACATCCACACTCAGCCCACATGCAGGGTTGTGTGACTTGCCTCTAGTTCCACTCAGTGACAGTATTTTTTGGTAATGGAGTGGTCTGCATTCCCCTTGATGCCGAGGGAAATGGGAAGGTTCTGCCTTACCTTATCCATGCTGGCTTGGTTCAGCCTCATGATTGACGCATGTGCCAGCCGGTCATACACAGTTCTCAGGGCCTTCTTGGAATAGAGCTCCTGTGGCTTAAACAGCTCCTCCATAAACTTTTTATTGAACATGGTTGCAATGATGTCATTCATAACTGTAAAGACAAAAGAGCCCAAGCTGTCAGGGATGCCTTGGCTCCATTTTTAACTCCACAGGACAAAATGGACGTTTGTGGCTGAGGGAAGGAAGGACTACAGAGGCTGCTCCAAGTGCAACCCTGAGGCACCATCTCCAAGAAAGAAGGCCTGGCACATGGTTGTGCTTGTTTCCAAATGCCCTTCAGGAAGGCATCATCAACCCTTGCTGCCGAGGGTTTAATCAGCATAATTAGCAATGCAGGACTGGGAAACATGTCCTTCTCTGGAGAATGAAACATGGGAGGCTGCTCTCATTGTTATTCCTCCAACAGACCCACCCACAAATGGGGGGGGGGACATATATCAATCCAACAACTCTATAAGTGGAACGGCAGATGCCTCACACAGGCAACCTGCACCAACTCCATTTCTCATGGTCGGGACACAGAGCCTTCTGAATCCGCAGCACCTTGTTGGAATTATGAAGGAAATTATTGTGCCTGGTCCTCACTTGCCATTAGTTTGGGCTGAGATAACACAACAAAATGCCACTAGCAGTAGAAGATTAATACTGATGGCTTTTTATTAAGTATGGACACATTTCTAAAGGGGCTTCCAGATCAGCCCAGTACACGCTAACATCATTGCACCGGCAGTATTCAACATCTATGCTTCTACAACAGAGAGGTAGCACAAGACCAGCACTCTTTAATTACTAGTTTCCAGTGGGTATCCATTTTGGTCTGGAGTAGAAGAGCAAGATTCAAGTCCAGGAGCACCTTACCGACCGACAAGATTTCCAGGATATAAGCTTTTGAGAGCTGAAGCTCCCTTCATCTGACAAAGGGAGCTCTGACTCTCGAAAGCTTCTACCCTGGAAATCTTGTCGGTCTTTAAGGTGCTCCTGGACTTGAATCTTACTATTTAATTACTAGATGATATTCTCTTTGCCTCTGATGGTAGGTAAATGTAAAAACAAAAAGTATACCAGATGAATGCTTCAAATAAATGTTCCTCCACTCCCTTCAACAGTCCTCAGGTATGCACTTTCAAAACTGAATTATTTGGAACATTCATCTGGTGTATTTTGAAATTAACAAACCGGAAACGTTCATACGACACAGGCACTTTATTCCATTAAGAAATTTGGATGAGAATGGAAATGCTTATGGACTGAGCACATATGGATCATGGTCTGATTGATTGTTGCATGAATCACATTGTTATAATTACAGATTTTGTACAAGAGTATCCTTATGTATTGTAAAACACGAATCATATATTAGTTTCATAGCAATTTGTTCACGGTTTTGTTTTTGCATTAACCTCCTTTCTGTTAATCTCTTATTGGTTATTTGTCTAATGGTAGGTAAGCAGTGCTGGTCTTCAGAGGAAGTTCCCATTCATCACAACAGATATCCCTCCTGCTACTGTTGTTTGGACACATGTAGATAATCTTGAGAACTGGTGGGACACAGGACAAAAACTACTCTTAAAAATGACAGTGCACCTGAGGATTAAATACAGAGCAGGAAAAATATTTCACATTCTCAGTTACCAAAATCAAAACTCTCAAGAACCAAGCTGATAGGATATCCCTGTGTCTAGTTGGGAAAATGTCAAAGATTCTCCAGTCACCAGCATCATATTTTAAGTGCCTGGAATTTTGGTAGCCAAACTGAGATTATCTGCGACTTCCTGGGGCAGAGGGATGTAACACACTGTATGTGGGTTTGGTTTCCAATTAAACCAGGTTCATGAGGGCAGGTCTGATACTTAGGAGAGTATCAGCAACAGTCAATATGGCCTGTCTTAGCGAATACAGTCTAGTGAATTTTTTTCAGGTTCTTTACATAGTAGTGATCAAGTCTTTTATGGCTATTTTTTTCTGTTTTCCCTTACACGAACAGCAGACATTCTAGCTAGTATCCAACAGTGGTTGCTATGCGCAGGCCCTGGGGATGGATGAGTAGAACCTTTATTCTGCTATTCCTTCTTGATAATCTCTATACCAATCCTAGCAAAGCTGTAGTATAAAATCCTTCTCACTGTACACCTCTAACGAGAGTTTACAAGACACTAACCATTTGCTGCTCATGGAAAGAACCACCTATAGTAAAATTTGGTTCTTCCACATTCCCATTTAGGAATGTGCCGCCTCATGCCTGATTTGTTTCTCTGCTAGCCCCAACCAGAAAAGTTCCTCTTGTTAGTTAGGAAACACGGCCAAGAGGAAACAGTCACAAGAGTCACCTCTTGCATTGTTTTTTTCATGTTCACATGATGTGTTAAATAAATGTGCCACTCTGCCAAAATTTAAGCCACACGAAAAACCAAGTGGGCGAGGCAGCCTACCCAGCTGCTCTCACATCCCTCAGGATCTTTAGTACCTGTAAGTCATTAAACGTTGGGACTGTCAACATGAGATAGGAAATACTGAACTGTTCCACTGTTTATGGTGGATCCCTGTGTGGGTGGCATGTTTGATTCCCAAAATACTGAGGCTCCTTAAGCAGCCACCCATGAAAGCTAGATAGTGGTATCATTATATACTGTCTCACAAGTAGTCATGCCAAAGCCATCTTACCAACCTTACAGCTCATATCTCCCCATAGCACACAAGCAATGGAGGACCCCCACCCATTTACTTCCAAAACTGCAGTGCAACTTGAAGCAATAAAAACAGAGACATAGCAGCACTTGGAGCTGTATCTGTCCGAGGGAGTACTTGCTAAAACCTGATGGCTTCCTCTCCTTAACTCATTCCAAGCCTATAAAACGAGATGCAGCAACGGTTTAAGAATATCAACTCAGGATATCTGAAGATGCCAGAGGAGAACCGTGACACACTCTGGTCTTAGTCAGAAAACAGTAGACTGGAACTAGTACAAGGCAGCTTCCTACAAGAGCTGGGGGGGGGGGGCTGCAATTACACAGCAGGGAAGGAAAAGGGTGAGAGAGCTGGGAACAGCGTGACACAGAGACAGTATGCATGCTCTCTGCCTGCATTTCGCTCATGAACAATGCTCATGGTACTCATGCAGCTGCATGCTTGCGTTCGCATGGATTTGAAAAAGTTTGCCAATGGGAATGTTCAACAGTCGTAAAACCCACTCAGGTGAGTTCCCAAAGAAGCTTACTTGAGGAGCACTCATGAGGTCTCTTTGCTCTTCAGCTCACCATCAGGGTCATTTCATTTCTGCAAGTTTTTAAATGCAGAAAAGCCTCAGTCGAAGAACTGCTGGTCAGTCAATTGCTACCACTACAGCAGTGAAGCAGCAGGGGATGGAGTGTGTATGTGTGGGCACGTGGTACTACTGCATGCAGCTAAAAACATTACAGTACCTCTTCTCCTGTCCACATCAGTCCATTCATCTACACGAAGCATAAAACAGAAAAGAACGATGGGTCAAGTAATAAGAACAACACACTGGCAAGCAGGCTGAAAGGGGAAAAAATAAATAAAAAAGAACCCAAGGAAGGGATATCAGAATTTAGGTGCTGCTGTGTTGGAATTATATAACAGAGGAAAGTGAGTGTTAAAAGCTTTTATATAAAAGCTTTTACAACAAGTGCACAGTCCTGATGTGGACTGTGCTTAAGTCTCAGGACACAAAAATGCATTTATTGCGCAACAGTGACTGTTTCTTGAATCTTTACACCTGTGTTAATGAATTATTGTACTAGATGGATTACCTTATTCTGAGCAAATGAATCTCTTCCAGGCCACTATGTCTAAAGGTCTAGAAAAATCTGAGGTGCCTGCCTATTGGAGTACGTAGAACATTTATGAGATTCACTTCCCAGCCTACCTTCAAGAAGTCTGGGGAAGCCACTCACCTGGAGTTAGCCCATTTTATCCTTACAACACCCCTTTGAGATAGGTTAGGTTGACAGAAAGTAACTTGTCCAGTCACAATGTTCCCTCTAAGCTGTGGAGTCTTGTGAGCAAATATTGTACTTTGTGAGCTACTGGCATTAAAATCGCAAGCCAGCGATTTGGCTACTGCATAAATTAGTTTGCTCTGGAGCCATCCTTCCTGAGCTAAGACAAAAATGTGCGAGCCAGAGGCTAAAAAACTGTGAGCTAGCTCACACTAACTCAGCTTAGAGGGAACACTGCCAATAAATTCTATGGGGGGTGGAATTCAGGCCTTTTTCAAACCAAGATTTCATCAACTCCATCACAGTGGCATAGAATTTTAAACATTCCCCCACTAGAATCAGCACCTCAGTATCTGATGCTGATGCTTGGGGAGTGGAAATCTTTTTCGAGCCCTGTTCAAGTGCACCAAGTCAACTTGCACTCCTCCAAATGTCAACCCTTGCCCCCTTCTTTTTACATTTATATGCCAAATGCTTGTTTTGGGGAAATCAGGAACACTACCCCTCAAAGCTAACCCAGTATAATTTTGGGGCCAGAAGTAAAGGAATGTTTCTATACTAAAGGAATGTCTCTTCTATAGCATCTGGGATTGCAACCCTTTGTGTGACTCCTAACATGAGACCAGGACTTTTTTCCTCTGTAGTTTTATTTATTTTATTTATTTTGGATTTATATCCCGCCCTTCCAAATGGCTCAGGGCGGCTAACATACGTCTAGTGCCAGGTTAAATAGATAAAATACAATAAAACAGCGTGAAACATCCATGATAAAATCCCATAGACAATATTTAAGGTGCCCTGATGTTATCCTATATATAGATCTCTAAAATGGGCAGTAATCCCAATTCGACGGTCAGCTTTATTAAGTAGCGAGGACTCCAGCGATTATGTTCTACCAGCTTCCGCCAGACGACGCATACCCCCCATAGTAGGGGTAAATGGTGGAACAGTACCACGGTGGTGGAATAGTGGCAGCGGCAGCGCCTACTCAAAAGCCTGGCAGAAGAGCTCTGTCTTGCAGGCCCTGCGGAACTGCACAAGGTCCCGCAGGGCCCAGATCTCCCCCGGGAGCTCGTTCCACCAGGTAGGAGCCACCACCGAAAAGGCTCTGGCCCTAGTAGGGGCGAACTTAACGTCTCGGGGGCCTGGAACTTCCAGGATGTGGAGACTCCCCGATCGCTTCCTCATCTCTTAGGATGAAATGTTTCCAGTATTAAAATCTCCACTACTGACATAGAAATGCTTTCAGACATGCTGGCCCACAAACTATTGCCAGATACGAAACTCAAGACTGGACAAACTAGCATAGCTCATCAATAAAAAATGGAGCAGAACTTTATGAACTCAATAAACAACCGGGATTTAAATTTCCCATACAATAGCATCTCTTCATTCTTGAATAAAGTTTCCTGTTCAAAATGTATGTAATAATAGGCACCCAAGAATTCAGGATCTTTATGATGATTGGCAGAAGGAAGACCCATTGAAAAAAATATTAGAACTGTTCCTAGTAAAATAGCTTGGCTCCGTGTGCTTGAGAAATCATATTATTTATTTACTTAATTTATACCTTGCCTGTCTCTCCACTGGGGACCCAATGCAGCTTAAATCATTCTCCTCTCCTCCATGTTATCCTCATAAAACACCTGTGAGGTAGGTTCAGCTGAGAGTATGTGACTGGCCCAAGGTCATCCAGCAAGCTTCTGGGATTTGAACCTGGGTCTCTCAGATCCTAGTCCAACATTCTAGCTGCTACACAACACTTTTAGTAAGATTAGTAAAAGCTGCTTTTGGAGTGGTCTGAAATGGCTCCAAATCAGAGCCAGCAACTAAAGAATGAGAGGGTCTTAGTAATACAGCGACAAACTGGAACTACTGGCATAGAATGCTACATCTGTGTATTGTTTTTGGGAATGGAGACATTTCAAACCTTTGTGTGAAGCGTGATTCTCTAAGTGGTGAAAATAATTGTTGGTCTGAGAGTCCCAATCCCTGTGAGGCTTCTGCCAATTAAGGATGACATTCTTACTGCGTTGGCCTTACAACCATAGTAAACAGAGGAGAGCCTCCTCTCCTTTGGGTAGGTGGATGATATTTTCACACCCCTTTCCCACAATCTCCAACTGCACATGTCAACGTGCTTAATCGGCAGTTAAGTGTTCTACCCACATCAACAAACACAGGGAAAAGCTTACAAACTCCACATGGAAAGCACATCAAGCCACAATTAGTGTACCTTGTAGAATATTTGTGTCCGTGCACACACAGAAAGCCAGGAATGGGGAATCTGTATCCCAGTACAACAGTGTCACTCCCATTTAGGTGACCTGAATACCCATGGGGGAAAAAATTATTGACAAATGCTGGTGACCTGTCTAGGGGTTAGGGGGTTGGCAGCAATTCCTTGCTCCACAGTTGAATGGACTCTGATGATGGACACAATTTGTGGATGTTGTGAGGCAGTTGTCTGTTGAAAGGGCTGCAGCTGGACTGCTGTCTTATGTAGTAACTCTAGTCTAAAACAATGGATTTCAACAGGCTTAGACTGTAGTAATTCTGTGTGGAATTGCACCAGTAGTCAAGGACTGTGCCTTGACTGTGCCATCCCCCTCCTCCCCAAAAACAGGAGTTATATCGTTGACGACCCACACCACCCCATAATCCGAGGTGCTGCATACCCTGGTCCATAAACCACTTTCTCTTATGCCAGTACTCTCAGGCATCGCCTGATCTGCATCACACCTGCCTCACTCCAGCCTTCCTTTCTCAAATCTTTCAAGGAGATCACAGCTATGGCTCCTCTGTCTCTCATGTTGGGGCTGCAGCGTATTTTCAAGGTACCCAGTGTGGTTGGTGCAGGATGTGTATATGGGGCACAGACTCTATCATTTAATGCTGTTCAGTGGAATATACAGACATACAGCATTGGTTAAGGAGTGGAGTGCCTCTTGGGAGGATGGGTGTATCACAAATGAAGCCAGGATTCTAGTTTGTGTTACTAACGCTGAGTTTGGAAACAGAGGGTGGAAACAATTTCAAATTTATTTAGAATCCTAAGTCCCATGCAAGGAGATTTAGATGTTATTTTGATGGCAAAGGTCCACTCTGGCTAGAATTGTTCTTTTGTGCTACTCCAGTCCAAAATGTCTGTACATCAACCATAGGTTCACCTCCTTTGGCTGGTTCAAAAATGAAAACTTCTAGCAAGCAAGTTTTAAATGACATGCTGGACCTCAAAAAGCAATGGACCAAAGGGAAATCCAGGCCTTTGGAGTGACTACCAGAAGCTCAGTTCTTCCCTCCCCCTTTAGCTAGCTTGGAAATAAAATCAAAAGGGAACCTTTGTAGCATCTGGATGTCTGATTTGTTAGAGCCACTCTGCCCAGATGCATGAAGTGGAATCAGTCAGCTGTCCACATAAATGCACAAAAAACCTCTGCCACAATTAAAAAGCACGTGTCATGAACGTTGCTTCCCCCATTCCTAGACATGCAGCAATATATTCAGAGGCAGACTGATGAGAGGGAAGAATGGCCTGTGTCACTGCAGAGGAGGGATTTGAACTTTCGAAGTGGTTCTAGATTGCTGTTTTACTAAATGAAGGGAAGATCTCTTACACTTCCCTCTAAGCAGAAAGCTAGAACATCATTTATGAAAAGTACGCAGACGGAGAGTGATTTCAGCAAAGCGTACTTTATTCGAACAGGAACAAGACGACTTTGGCCGGCTTGCAAGCCGGCTTATATCCCCCGAGAAACCGCCACCCAAAACACACCCCTACTTCCCAATAGGTTATTTACTGTGGCTGAGAGTCCCATAGGCTCTCGGCTGGGAACCTAGCCCCCTGATTGGAGTGGGCTAGGATCCGCATAGTCCATTGTCTCTTGGAGCGAAGAGGTTTGTCTCTGACCGCGTGGAGCCTGAGCCGGCCACGCAGTCTGGACTGGATACTTTACAATTTATAACACCTTTCTATAAGATGCCTTTTCAAATTTCGGCAGACTTCTTACATGGGAGAGCATGAAGAACTGAGGGGTACTAAAACTAAGGACATCGATTGCCCATAGACAATACAAGATTGCCACCACTTCAGGATGCGACCACTTCACTTCATGAGAGACGACTGTGGTTTCAGAATTAAGCAGCTTCCCACGGGGTTCGGAGCAATGCTCCCTCTAAGCTGTGGGGTCTTGTGAGCAAAAATTGCACTTTGTGAGCTACTGGCATTAAAGCTGTGAGCGAGCGATTTGGCTGCTGCATAAATTAGTTTGCTCTGGAGCCATCCTTCCTGAGTTAAGACAAAAATGTGTGAGCCCGAGGCTAAAAAACTATGAGCTAGCTCACACTAACTCATCTTAGAAGGAACACTGGTTTGGAGTGCGAGTTTGGCCCCTAGCCCACACATGCCACAAAAAGAGGAGACAGCAAGGCATCGGAGCGGGTCAACGAACTACGCCACTGCAGACCCCAGTTCTGAATGTTCCTCTGCACACAACACCCCCCTCAGTAGAAAATTAGCCCAGCAGAGGGTCTTTACTCTGTTGGTTTTCTGCTTGCCAAGAGTTTCTACCACTGAGAGCCCGTTCCGTTAAGCAGGCCTCGTCCACTCTTGCAATCTATCCCACCACCCTGCTCTCCGCGACACGTGTCAGCCTGACCGGCGGCGATCCTCTTTTTCCGCTCCCCATTCCAGCCGCTCCCCAAGGGGGCGGGGCCTTGCCGACTAACCTTTGCGCGCCTTTTCTCCCGGGATGCTCTGTGCGCGCAGTCGCTGGTCCAGAATATAGAGCATCTCCCCGCCGAGGTTAAGGAAGAGCAGCGGCAGCGTCCGCGTCGACATGACGGCCGACTTCGTCCCAGGCCGCGGCCCGGCTGGAAAAAACACCCTGCCAAGATTGCTCCGCAAGAGGCTCTGGCGACGCCAGCTCCGTTGCTAGGAGACCAGAGACGGGGAACGAGCCAATCGCAGGGCGTCTTGGTGACAGAGCGGGGCGGGATTTGGTACCCTCTGCGGCTGCGCCCGCTCCACCCTCTCCGGGTAAAGAGCAGCAGCGCCAAGGTGGTGATGGGGGTGTATTCGGTGCGCAGGCGTGTTGCGGGCATTTCACGGGCCGACCGTTTTCCTGTCTCCTCAGGCGCCTCTTTAGGTTGCCAACCTCCAGGTCGGGCCAGGAGTTCTCATTGTGTTACAACTGATCTCCAGCCTACCAAAATTAGTTCCCATGGAGAAAAGAGCAGCTCTTCTACAAATTGCCACACCAGAAGCCTTACATCCAGGAATTTCCCAGGTCGGAGTTGGCAACCCTCCTGAAGTGAAAGGGAGTGGGAACTGATCGTCAAGGCTGGCCATTGCAAAACGCAAAATCATGGTTGAACCTCAGGAAAGGCTCCCAGCTGCCTGCTAAAAACTTCCTTTCAAATTCGCCCCCCCCACAATGGTGCCATTTCCTCCAGAGTGCCCAGGTTAGAAGGAAGAAGGCTGCCTCAGGGCCTGGCCCTCCCTGCTTGTTTGCTTGCTTGTCTGGCTGGAATGGGATTTATTGGAAACCAGAACACTGTCCATGTTATTGGACCCAACCAAATGCCTTGTGAAGGATGGATGTTATAACAAAATGTATTAACAGTGAGACTGAGAGAGGAAAAATGCCACTGGAGGTAGTGTTGTTCCCCTTCAATCCTGTGTTGTATACTAGGTGCAGAACAGAATCCAACATTTCAAAGTGTACCTAGATTTTCTCCAGGCATGAGCCAATAAAATGATTAAACTCCATAAGAAAATGCAAGTTTAACAATCTCTCTCACACAATGCATTTAATTTTATCTGTTAAAGTTTGTATGTCCCATCTTTTTGGTCACTATTGCTCTGTCAAAGTGGTTTACAAAGGAGAAAGACAAAATGGAAGCCAAATTTCAGAGGGATTGGTAGCATGCTTAGCCTGCTGAAGCCACAGTGTCTTGGGGTGCTTCAAAGACCTTACCATTTCTTGTGACAGAAGCTTCTGAGGTGAGGCCTGGAGATCTCCTGGAATTACAACTGATCTCCCAATGACAGATCAGTTACCCCGAAGAAAATGGCTGCTTTGGAGGGAGGTATTATGCCTCACTTAGCTCCCTCCCCAAACCCCTACCTCCTAGGCTCCACCTTCCAAATCTCCAGAAATTTCTCAACCCAGAGTTGGCAATCTTTGTACTCACTTAAAACTATTATTTATTATTATTTATTTAATTATATTTATACCCCGCCCTCCCCGCGAACGGGCGACTGTGTGTGCACAGTGAACCAACTGTGAAGATGGTTACTTCCTCATGTCCCTGAGCAACACCTGCCTCACCTCCGAGAAGGCAAAGAGAATGGTTTGAAGTAGTCCCAGGGTTTCCTTTTCAGACCAAAATGTTGTTTTTGTAACTTGCAGAGGAATGTGAGATTTGGATGTGGTAATACTAAAGTGCAAGGACATATGCCAAATGTTTTCTTACCAGTCAATGGTCAATTTCTCAAAAGAGTTATATACTGTACATGTTCACAACTGAAACAACTTTAAGAGTACTAAAATGGTGTCCTCTCCCTTTGCAAGGGTAGACATGGTAGTGTCCTTCAACAGTAAAGTGCGGCCAAAGATCTGCCTAGCTGTGGTGTCTAAAGGGCCTGAGAAACCCACTGGCAATTTATGTCCTTGAGAATGAAATGCTATGGCTGCTGTACCTTTGGTTTATTTATTTAGAGCATTTATACCTCACCTTTCTTCCAGTATTGGTACCCAAGCTATTAACACAGTTTAAAACAAAAATATTACTTTTTTTAAGAGAGAAAAAACCAGTCCAAGCTGCTCTTCTTGATGTTTGCGGCAGTGCAGTGCAGTTTCCAGCTAGTCTCCTTTCAGGAATTCTTGGAGCGGGTATGGACTTCACGAGCCATGCGGCATAGTTCACACCAGCCACAACAGAACATGGACAGTGCATCCTGACAAACGGTACCCTGTTTTGTTCAGATCAAGAAGAGAGATTGTGAGCCTCTATTCAGGCTTCCATTCCTTTATTTTTTTAAAAATATGTCACTGGTACAATTAAATCATTTTAGATTCTGGACCTAGGTACTTGTGGGGCTCCCCTTGTATGTTTCCAGTGCAAAGCTACAGCCTTCTTTGAGGCCCCCTACTTCTGAAACCATGAGCCAGAGCCTCTCTGGACTACTGGTTTATATTCTTCTCTTCCACTGCCCAGAGTAGCTCACAGAGCCATATGTAGTATGCCCATACATTCATGCCTCAATCAGGAATTGGTGCTCTTTAATTTGTTCATAAATGATTTGGAATACAGGGGTGAGCACTGTAGTGATGACATTTGTGGATGGCACCAATTATTCAGGATGGTGAAAATCAAGGTGGGTCACAAAGAGCTCCAGGGAGATCGACTTTATTCACATGGTTGTTAACCTCCTCAAAGAACTCCAAAAGGCTGTTGAGGCAGGATTTCACTTTGCAGAAGCTTTGCTGATTTCCCCTCAGCAGGTTTTTTCCCTTGATGTGCTTAATACTTCTTTGTTTAATAACAGTTTCTACACATATGAGCCTTGTCTAAATTAATGTTAGGGGAATGGTAAGCCAACCTTTCCACACTAATAGTGGAAGCTGGCACCATAATACAAAAAAAAAATCAGAAAGCAACAGACAATAATACTTGCTAGGTTGTGTGGAAACCTCCATCCTAGAGGGTGGTGTGTGTGTGTGTGTGTGTGTGTGTGTGTAATCTAGATAGCATTCTATGCCTGTTTTCCACCACTCAGAAGCATGGCTGCAATTGGGGAGCTGCTCTGTTTCACCTATAGTATATCTTCCAACTTCTCTGCAACATGGGAAAAGAAATGTCACACAATTTTCCCCCCCTGAAAAGGACAACCTATTCAGAGAGAGAGAGAGAGTCTGTAACTCACAGGAAATTTAGTTATCTGTGATATTGCAAAACCAGCGGAAATGGTTCTAATTTGCAAGAGGGGCAAGGCAATTTTAGCATGGTCTTGAGCAAATTTGTCCATATTAGAAATTACTTTGAATGCTTAACGATTAAGCAGCGATTTCTCAAAGAACTCCATGAGTTTGATCCAACCAAGTTTTTCCACAGCTGAACAAGGGAGAAGAGCATCCCCTGACCACCAAAAAGGTTATGGTGGGGATCCAAAGACCTCTATGGACAAAAGCCATGTGGGATGTGGGAACGGAATAAGGTACTGAGCAGAAAACCTAGCTGGATCCAACCTCCTGTTTCTTTCATTGTGTGTAACTCTGCCACTTAGACAGTAAAGATCACATAGTAGATCAAACTTTGCCCCCCCAAAGATTTCCCTATATGATTTTCCCTTATGTATCTGAAGAAGTGAGTTGCGACTTACAAAGCTCTTATTAAAATAAATGTTGTTAGTATTTAAGGAGCCATTGAACTTTTTATTTTGCTATGACTACCCCTTTGCAATCACAGTGCAGACCACAATTCTGCAGAATCCCAAAAACATTGAAAACATATTACCGGGATGCCATAAGAGAGCCGCATGTGAGTCCGTAATGCTGTCGGTCCACCAGGCACCATCCCGAGGCAACAGTTCTCTCCATATTTGTGCGACACATAACAGGATAGGATTTGTGGGCACAAAAACCCCAGACAACCTGCAAAAGGAAGCACACTCATCCCTGCATGGAGTAATCATAGATAAACCTTCCAAAACCAGAAGGAACTTACACTGTGGTTGAAATATCATCTCTTTGACAGCTCTTCTCTTGGTCAAGGCAGCAAGATGGAAGTTATGTGCAGGCATTCATGTCCACATATCCACAGTGCATTTAATTTTTTATAGGAAGTACATGTGGAATTTCTGCTGTTTTACAAATAATGTTCTTTGAAGGCACACGAGAAAGAGGAAAACATCAAGCTGAGAACCAGTAGGGTGTAGAAGAAGAAGATAAGAGATTGGATTTATATCCTGCCCTTCACTATCCGAAGGAGTCTCAGAGCGGCTTACAATCCCTTCCCCTCCCCACAACACACACCCTGTGAGCAATGCTCCCTCTAAGCTGTGGAGTATTGTGAGCAAAAATTCTACTTTGTGAGCTACTGGCAGTAAAACTGTGGGCAAGCGATTTGGCTACTGCATAAATTAGTTTGCTCCGGAGCCATCCTCCCTGAGCTAAAACAAAAATGTGTGAGCTGGAGGCTAAAAAACTGTGAGTTAGCTCACACTAATTCAGCCTAGTGGGAACACTGCTTGTGAGGTAAGGTGGGGCTGAGAGAGCTCTTTCAAGAACTGCTCTTCAGCCTTGGGAGAGGCACCTCTCGCGTCCAGGCTGCAATCCTCCTACAAAGGGTTGCGGGAGTCCAAGATCAACTCGGACCCCTCCCCCATTGGCACGTTTGCGGGCCGCTCACATCAGAGCAATGATGGAGTGCACCCACTTGCGAGTGTTTGTGAACACTCGCTCAATCTTCTATATAACAATTGTATTAACTCTCATGCATTACTACTTTGACAATAAGGAATTATTCTCACTTTAAACAATTGTATTAATGATCTCTTGCTACTCGTAGTTTTAGTTTGTTCCCATCCACAAACCCTATAGGTGTGTAGTTTAGAAAAGCAATAAAAATGTTTAAAAAGAAAAAAGGAGAGAGCCATGACTGACCCAAGGTCACACCAGCAGTTGCATGTGGAGGAGTGGGGAATTAAACCCGGTTCTCCAAGATTAGAGTCTGCGCTCCTAACCATAGACCCTAATCTGGAGAACTGGGTTTGATTACCCATTACATATGCAGCCAGCTGGGTGACCGTGCATCAGTCAGCTCTCTCAGAGCTCTCTCAACCCCACGTACCTCACAAGATGCCTGTTGTGAGGGGAGGAAGGGAAGTAGATTGTAAGCTGCTTTGAGATTCCGTAGGGTAGAGGAAAGCAGGATATAAACGCCAGCTCTTCTTGAATCTGCATAGATTTTAAATATATCTTGATCTAATGCCAGATCTAGGTCTTGGAAGAGAACCCCTCTGAAGGAAGCTAGAAAAGTCACCCCCAAACCAAAGAATCAGGCAACTAATTCTGTGTACCCCGGGGCATTGGGCTTACATTTCTCAAGAAGCTACTCCCTTCTAATTGCTGCATGCCAGGCCCTGCTTGAAACCTAGATGTCATTTGTAAGCTGCAGGTACAGGCTGAGGACTCTACTGTTTAAAGAAAATATGGAAAAAGTATCCAGTGTCAACACCCAAGCCATGGGGCTGCCTAAGTAGGTCTCTGGATCCCAGCTTCTGTAAACAATTTCCCTCACCCCAAGGGTTTGCAGTTGTTTAAAAGATTAACCTTAAATCTGACAGCATTCTGACCCCAAACATGAACTCTCTCTTTTTCCCTTCCCAAATATTCCTACAGCTGCAGTCCCTTGCAAAAGTCCCACTGAATGCAAATCAGGTTTGAAGAAGCCCAGATGTGAGCAGCACAGATGCTTCAGCTTTGTTGATGCAAGTGCATTAACCTGAAATGAGGCAACATGGAAGAAAATGTGCTTAGGAGCCTCCCTCCTCCTCTCCCACATGAAGTTGTCTACAGCAGCGCTAATGCACAAAATAGATACCGCAAATGCACACTTACACATGGGGCAGTCTGCACAGCAGTCGTATCTGCCTGTGCTCCAGCTACCTTCAGAAGACATGGTCACAGGGGAGATGGCAGCCGGTTGGCTAGTCACTGGCTCAGTCATGGTTTGAGCCAAGGTCACTGGAGCTTCTCAACTGTCCGTTCCAAAGAAACTGAACTGCAGTTACAAATGCCTTGCAAACTGTGTGTGAAACACTCTTTACTGAGACTAAGCCTGCTGTCAGTTCCTGGGCTACATGTGGAAACTGGGGAAGGGGCGGGGGAAGAAAAATTATATGCGCAAGACATGGTTAAAATTACACAAGGACGAGTGAAGTGAAACTGCCCATGGGAGCTCTTTTATGGCATATTGAATTTAAGCAATACAAAAATCTCACCTTTATCTGTTTGCAACAAGTGATGGTAGATGAGGAGGATGCCAAGTAGATAGTTAATGGAATAGCACTGGTGCTTAAGATCTGAAGTAGGAGATGCTGGGAGTCAAGACTTCAGGCACCTTTTTCAGTTAACTACATAGTTTATTTAACATCTGTATGTGCCCACTTGCCCAGATTATTCAGAGGTATGGGATGGGTTGTCACCAATATGTGGATGACACCCAGACTCTGCCCCTGAACATCTGGACAGGGCATTACAGGCTATGGCTGGATGGTTACAACAGAGCAGACTGAAACTGAATCCATTGAAGACGGAGGTCCTGCACCTGGATTGAGGGGGACTGGGTGTTAGGCTCCCAGTGTTTGACAGGGCCCCATTGGAGCCAACACCTAGGGCAAAGTGCCTAGGGGTATTCCTGGATGCCTCACTGACTATGGAGGCCCAGGTCACCACCACTGCCAAGTCTGCCTTTTTTCATCTGAGGCAGATCCGGTAATTGGCCCCATACCTCTTCCCCGTGATCTGGCTGTGGTGACCCATGCAATGGTCATTTCCAGATTAGATTACTGTAATTCTATGTGGGGCTTCCCTTGACACTGCTCTGGAAGTTGCAGCTAGTGCAGAATGCAGCGGCATGGGTGCTGATGTTGTTGCCTATGCGAGCACACATCCGCCCAGTGCTGTGTGACCTGCACTGGCTGACCATTGAATACCGGATCCGTTTCAAGGTGTTGGTGCTTACCTTTAAAGCTCTATATGGCCAGGGGCCTGCATATCTTCGAGACCTCCTCTCCCCATATGAGCCCTGTTAAACATGGCGTTCTGGTTGTCCCTGGCTCTAGGGATGTCTGACTTGCCTCAGCTAGGGCCAGGGCCTTTCTGGAGCTCTTCTGTTGGGCCTTTAGTCGAGGCAGTGGGCACCCATTTGATCTGGCCTCCCTCCAGTGACCACAAATCGAAGAAGCCGAATTGAGACTACTATATTATCTGTGAGGCATTGTTGTTTTAATATGCTGTGATTTTATTGATTTTAATGGAGTGTTATAATTTATTCTAAATGTAAGGTAAAGGTAAAGGTTCCCTTGCTCGAAAGCCAGTCGAATCCGACTAGGGTTGCAGTGCTCATCTCCGTTTCAAAGCCGAAGAGCCAGCGCTGTCCGAAGACGTTTCCGTGGTTATGTGGCCGGCATGACTAAACACCAAGGCACACGGAACACTGTTACCTTCCCACTGAAGTGGTACCTATTTATCTACTTGCAATTTCTTGCTTTCGAACTGCTAGGTTGGCAGGAGCTGGAACTAGAGACGGGAGCTCACTCCGTCATGCGGCACTCAGGTCTCGAACTGCTGAACTACCGACCTTCCACAGCCTGCAGTTCAGCGTCTTAACCACTTGAGCCACTGCAGCTCCATTCTAAATGTAAATCTTCATAAATTGCAGACACTATATGTTGGAACCTGCCCTGAGCCTACAATGTGGGGAGGGCGGGATATAAGCCCAATACAATAAAAATAAGTAGTTGTGTGTAAAGTGCCATCAAGTCACAACTGACGTATGGCAACCCCCACAGGGTTTTCAGGACAAGAGACCAACAAGTGGTTTGCATCTGGGTAGCAACCTTGGACTTGTCTTCCATCCAAGTACTAACCAGGTTATTAGCTAAGCTAACTGCTTAGCTTCTGAGATTGGACTAGCCAGAGCCATCCAAGTCAGAATGTACTAATATTTATAATAGGAAAATATATTTGAAATAAACCTGGCCTCTGTCACTAGCACTGCAATATGGTCATGTTACAGCTGTTATGAGGTAAGACAAAGCTACCTGGGATGGAGCTTCCCCATTCTCAGATTGTATTCACTCACAGACACACCTTCAACATTTGTGTATAGGTTACTCAAGAGACTGTGCATAAATGCTTTATAAACAGGAATACATTCCATGGCCCCATGCAATGCTCCCTCTAAGCTGTGGAGTCTTGTGAGCAAAAATTCTGCTTTGTGAGCTACTGGCATTAAAGTTGTGAGCAAGCCATTTGGCTACTGCATAAATTAGTTTGCTCTGGAGACATCCTTCCTGAGCAAAAACAAAAATGTATAAGCCAGAGGCTAAAAAATTGTGAGCCAGCTCACACTGACTCAGCTTAGAGGGAACACTGGTCTCATGTCCTCTCTCCCCACTGCTGTGTGCTGGGAGACAGGCTCAACAAAGTGACCAGACAGCCTGACCTGTCTGGCTGACAACTTCCTTTTTCAAATGGTGGAGGAAGCAACAAGGGGCTCAGCCATACTGGAATTAATATTAACCAACAGGGAAGAATTGGTAGATGGGGTGAAGGTGGTGGGGACCTTAGGGGGAAGTGACCATGTCCTCCTTGAATTCCAGTTGCTGTGGGGGATCAAGGAAGTTCATAGCCAGACTCGTAGGTTAGATTTTTCATAGGGCCGACTTCAACAAACTCAGAGGCTTGATGGGAGTCATTCCGTGGGGGAGTGTGCTGGAAGGGAAAGGAGCGAGTGAAGGGTGGGCTCTTCTCAAACATGAGCTTCTGCAAGCTCAAGCTCTCACTATTCCAGCAAGACAGAAACATGGTAAGGGCTCCAAGAAACCGATGTGGATGAATGGAGAGCTCCAGAATAAGCTAAGGGAGAAAAAGGAAATTGAGGGAAATGGAGGGGTCAGACCTCTAAAGAGGAGCATATGAGAGTTACTAGGTACTGCAGATCAGCCATCAGAGAAACCAAAGCTCAGTATGAGTTGGGTCTGGCCAGGGGGGCTCGCTACAATAAGAAAAACTTCTACAGATATGTGAGAAGCAAACGCAAGGTAAAAGAGGCAATTGGACTGCTTTTGGGAGTAGAAGGAGAAACTCTGGTGGAGGACAGAAAAAAAGCAGACAGGCTTAATGACTTTTTTGGCTCTGTTTTCTCCCTGAAGAACTTGAGCCCATCTAGAGATAGTAGAGGATATGACAGGACATCTGAGTGTCCAGTTGACCTTGACAGGGAGGTTGTGGAGAAGCACCTGGCTGCACTGGACAAATACAAATCCGCTGGCCCAGACAGTGTGCACCCAAGAGTGCTCAAAGAACTGTCTAATGAACTTGCAGAGCCTCTGTCCATCATTTTCAAGGCCTCCTGGAGGACTTGGGATGTGCCACAAGATTGGAGAAGAGCGAATGTTATCCTGATCTTTAAGAAAGGGAAGAAGGATGACCCAGGAAACTACAGGCCTGTCAGTCTGACTTCTGTTACTGGGAAGATATTAGAGCAGGTTTTAAAGGGATCAATCTGTAAGCATCTGAAGGACCACTTAGTGATCCAGTGAAGTCAGCATGGTTTTGTCCCCAACAGATCTTGTCAGACCAACCTGATTTCCTTCTTTGATCGTGTGATGAGCTTACTGGATCGTGGGAACTCTGTTGGTGTGATTTACCTGGATTTCAGTAAAGTTTTTGATAAGGTTCCCCATGACATTCTGATGGGCAAACTGGAAGACTGTGGACTGGACTGTAGGACAGTTCGGTGGATAGGGAACTGAGGACCGCACCCAAAGAGTGGTGGTCAATGGCGTTTCATCAGATTGGAGGGAGGTGTCCAGTGGGGTGCTGCAGGGCTCAGTTTTAGGCCTGGTACTTTTCAATATTTTTATCAATGATCTGGATGAAGGGGTAGAAGGGCTACTCATTAAATTTTCTGATGATACAAAATTAGGAGGAGTAGCAGACACCCAAGAAGATAGAGTAAAAATTCAACAAGACCGGAATACTCTGGAGAAGTGGGCAGTTGCAAACAGGATGCAATTCAACAAAGATAAATACACAGTATTACATCTGGGCCACAAAAATGTCAAGCACAAATACTGCATGGGGGATACGTTTCTAGGGAGTAGTGTATGCGAAAGAGATCTAGGGGTAAGAGTGGACTGTAAACTAAATATGAGCAGTCAGTGTGATGTGGTGGCAAAAAAGGCTAATTCAGTCTTCGGTTGTATTAAAAGGGCCATAGCATTGAAATCACAGGAGGTCATAGCCCCTCTGTATACTGCCTTGGTCAGGCCGCACCTTGAGTACTGTGTGCAGTTCTGAAGGCCTCACTTCAAAAACAATGTGGGCAAAATCGAGAGGGTGCAGAAGAGAGCGACGAGGATGATCAGGGTCTGGAGACTGAGCCCTATGAGGAAAGGCTAAGGGCCTTGGGAATGTTTAGTTTGGAGCAGGGGTCATTTCATAGAAAAAGAGCTAGGGGAACTCATTAGCATAACTCATTAGCATATGCCACACCCCCTGACATCAGGGGCCCGGCGGTGGACCTGCAAGGCCGGCAGAAGTGCGAGGAAGCCCCGCCAAGGCCCTCCCTGGCCCCAGGCAGGCAGGGGTGAGGAGAGGCGGGGAGGAAGCAACTTACCCTCCCTCTTCTCCTGCCTCCTCCTGGCTGAATGAGGGCTGGAAGCGGTGTGGCCAGAAGCAGGGGGCGGGGCTTCATCGTGTGCCCCACCCCCCTGCACCTCACCCGGGGGAACTGCGTTCCCCCGCGTTCCCCCCCGAAATGACCTCTGGTTTGGAGGAGATTGAGGGGGGACATGATTACTCTCTTTAAATATTTGAAAGGCTGTCATTTGGAGGAGGGCAAGGAGCTGTTCTAGTTGGCAGCAGAGGATAGGACCCAAAGCAACAGGCTTAAATTACATGCACAAAGGTATCGGCTGGATATTAGGAAAAACCTTTTCACGGTCAGAATGGTTCAAAGGTGGAATCAGCTGCCTAGGGAAGTGGTTAGCTCCCTTTCACTGGCAGCCTTCAAGAAGAGGCTGGATGTCAGTCAGTCAGTCAGGCATTTATTACGGCAACAAGCCATAGAAAGAGGCTGGATGAATATTTGTCAGAGATGCTTTAGGCTGGTCCTACATTGGGCAGGCAGGGGGTTGGACTAGATGGTCTGTATGGCCCCTTCCAACTCTATGATTCTTTGATTCTATGAGTACAGTCAAGCTAGAGAATCCCAAAGTCTCTGGCTTGCTTCCCAAAGAAGAAAGAGTGCTCTTCTCTAATGGGAGACCAAAGAATTCTAGAGTGAAGGGTGTGGAAGCAGGTCTCAATGTTGTAAGTCACATGGGTGAAGAATTTAGAAAGGGAGGTCTGTAGTAGTTTGCTCCTCCCTTGCTTTCATGTTTCTCCCAGAGAAAATGCAGCAGTTAAAATGAGTCAAGCTAGACTCTACTATACTAACCCAGTGATGGCAGCAGTCTCTGAATGTATCACAAGGCTAAAAGAGGGCTGTGCACACACCCCTCCTCACACACAAACACCACAGTAGAGGGAATGCTGGCAGTAAAATTATTTATTGGTAATTATTGTCAGGATCTTACAGAAAATTATAAGCTTTCCTTATACTGGGGTTCCTTCATTCTGCACTGCTTGATCCTTGGCTGCTCTGGCGCGCTCTTCCCTCTGCTTCAGTTTCTCGAGGGCTTTCTTCTTCTTTACCTCTTCAAAGACCTGAAGGGGTTAATGAATGAAAGGAAGAGAAATGGAAAGAGGTGAGTGGGTGTTTGATCTGCTGCAAATCTGGGTAAAGCACAAAACTTCCATGTTTCTATAGCATTTAATCTGTTGCTTGTGAGCCCTCTTGATGATAATTTAGTAAAAATGGTGGGCACAAATTTTTACAAAGAAAACTATACTGTTTTTCCCCCAGTGACAAGCCTCTTGACAAGTCAACTGGCCATTGCCCCTAGTGGCTCATTGGCTTCTCAGTCATGACTGGCATCCTGGATTTCCAGGGGCCCCCCTGCTGCTGCCTTTTGAGTGCTGACCAGGGAGGCTCTTAACACCCCCAGATCCAGAAGCTATGTTGCATTTATGATACTGTTCACCCGCAACAAACATGCCAAATAAAATTCTGCCAAGGAATACTGGGCTATAGCTAGCCATATAAAAGTAGTTTAAGATACCCTGTCTAGCACCCATATTCATTTGTGCTCCCTTGCCCTGCAAAAAGAAGTGTGTTTGCTATCTGGACTCCAAGCCCATTCCCAATAAATGGTCAAATTCAGGTTATCACAAATTGACAGGTGAGACAGTTTCTTCATCACCTCACAGTGGGGCTAGCTGATTTTCCATAGGTCACTGAGCATATCTAGCTGCTTGCCTGTTAACTCCTTTCAAATTTGCTTCCCAAATTCATCTTCCTATGCTCCGCATGACTCTTCTATCTGTTCCAGCCCATTCTCTGCTATGTGCAAGCTGAGCTTTCCAATACCCCAGAGCAGCAGTCCCCAACATGGTGTCTGCCAAGTGCTTTTAGAAAGTGGGTGGGGCTGTGGGGCTTTTGTCCAGCAGAATTTCTGATTGGCTGGGCAGATGAAAAGGCATTCTGCTAAACAGAGCTTCTGCCTGAAATGGTGTACTATTAGAGTTACATACAACCTTTCTCCCTGACAGTTTGTGACTCGCCCCACCTGCTGTGGCAGCCATTTTGCAATTGTTCCTGCTGCCCTGTGTCAGAACCCCAAAGATGCCTGCAGGCTCAAAAGTGCTGGGGACCTTTGGTCCAGAGGCAGTTGCCAGGGAAACCAGAGCCAGGCACTTTCTACATACCCTTCTGCATAACTCTTTCTTCACCAACCAGCGCCGGGTGGCCCTCCGGCAGTATGGCGGGGGGAAAGTGTACTCAATGTTCAGCTGCTTGCATGTATTCTCAAAGACGTCATACTCTTTGTTGCGCAGGGCCTTCAGCAGCAGGTTCCGCCGGTCAATGACCATCATCATTTTGCGACGGTTTTCTTTGTCCTGGGGAAGGGGCAGGGGTTTATTCAGTGCAGGGCTATCAGCGGATAATTACTCAACTATTTCATTCATTTCCTGCTTAAATTTAGTCACTAAGAAATCAACTGGAGGAGATACTTTGCCTCACTATTGGGAATTCCTACTGTAATGTATAATGATGGTAAAGACTACTGGATGCTTGTTTTTGAACCCTGAAGCCTTCGATTTCTGAGGAAGAAAACTGGAAACAGCGATTACCAGAACGCTTGTCAAGTCATCTTTAACTGTTTGAGCCATCTGGTGTTACTGATAACAATCATCACTCTGAACATATTTTGGACAATCTTGTTATAAGGTCAAGTGTCACATTTAGTGTGTGAAGTACAAGGAACAGTACTTTGTTATCTTGTAACCAATGCAAGTTAATGTTTGTAAAACAGGAGAACTGATACATATTGACCAATGTTTTTGTAAATTTTATTCTATTTTGCTAATAGTAATTGAATACAAACCAATTTACATGGTTCTATTATTTTGTCTTTAAGCTCTCAGACTGTGGTCCCTGTGCCTTTATATCCTTATACCAGAGCACAGCATCATCCACCAAGCTCAGCGTGGTCCCTTTGACTGGCAAGTGCTCTGCAGGCTCCCAGACAGAGGAATATCTATCCTAACATCTACTACCAAAGACTGAACTGCAGGCCTTCCACCCACAAGACAGGTGGGTCTGCCATTGGGCCACAAGTAGAGAACAAGCTGTGGCTCAGTGATACAGCATCTGTTTGGCTTGCAGAAAGCCCCAGGTTCAATCCCCAACATCACCAGTTAAAAGGACCAAGCAGTGCATGATGTGAAAGACCTCTGCTTTAGACTCTGGGCAGCTGCTGTCAGTCTGGGTAGACAATACTGGCCTTGCTGAACCAGGGTCTGTTTCAGTATAAGGCAGCTTCATGTGCTTGTATTCAATGTAAACCACAGCAATCCAGGTTACTGCTGGAGACACATCTTTCATCAAGTTGCAGCTGACTTATGATGATCCCATTAGGGTTATCAAGGCAAGAGACAAACAGAGGTGGTTTGCCATTGCCTGCCTCTGTCTAGTGACTTCCCTGGTTGTCTCCCATCCAAGTACTAACTAGGGCCAACCCTGCTTAGCTTCCAAGATCTGGCCAGCCAGATCAGGGTCAAGGCACACATCTCTCATGTACGTAATAACACATAAACGACTTGCTTCAAAGATTACCTTGGGGTACCTCTGCAAGTGCTCCTGGAGAGTACGGATCCTTGCCGTCAAGTAGGCAACTAGAACGACAAACAAAAGTCACTGTAGGAAGCAGAGCCATACAGGACTGCTTATAATGGAACATTTTCTTTCCCCCCCCTTTTTGGTACGTGCCATCAAGTTGCAGCTGCCTTACGGCGACCTTCTGGGGTTCATTCCTACTTCAAAAACTGTGCTTGAATAACAAATGGTCAAAGGCATATCTTTGGGTGTATTCACCCTGAGATTTATCACCTTTACTGTTGGATGCGCCCCTGTCTCTTTAGTGTTTGCACTTAACCAAAGCCAGTTTGGACTTATACTGCTGCAGAAATATCCAGCAACAGATTACTGCTGCTTCCCCATGGCAGCTTGCAAGAGACAATGTGAACAGTTTGGGAGTAAAGTGTAATGACCCATACCTTTCTAGGCAGAAATCAGTGGTTAGCAAACCCATCTGGGAAGCAGTGTCCTCCATCCTTTTGGATTTTTGCCTTGATTTAAATGTGGTGCTGGTGATTTAAATGCACTCACCTGCGGGTCATTTGAACTGAGCTTCTAGCCTTGCAGAGCAGCCCAGTTTAAATGGAATATTATGTTTGTGCAAAGTCAGATGGAAAAGTGATTTTGCTTCAGCCAGCATCATCAGTCCTCACTGCAAGAACTATGAGACAGCCACTACATCTCAGTTGCAGGTAAAAGAGAAGGGGAACAACAAAAGTTTGCTCCTTGCTGAACAGGCCGTGCAAATGGTACCAATGAGCGGCAGGTGAAAACTGTGGCTGCTCAAAATGGATAACTGCAAATTCCCACTTGATAACACTGTAACGAAGTCAAATCAAATCCTGGCTGGCCTGACTGTGCCCAGAGGGCACGAATAAGGAGCTGCTCTTGTTCACAAAGGGAAAAAAAGGACAAAGAGGCTGTATGTCCATGACCTCAAGCTTTCTCATATGGGAGGGAAAGCAGGGAAACCACCACTAGAATCATGAATATGCTCTATGCAGGGCTGGAGGTTGAAGGAGGACCTCTGAGTGCCAAGAAACCATCCTGAGCAGCCTCTTCTCAATACCGGCCTTTGCCAAGCAGTAGTCAGTTGCAGCTGCTTGCGAAAAAATGTTCTTCTGACAGCTCTGCTTCCTGCCACACAGCCTTCTTGGCACCGTTGCTACATTGTGGTTTTGAAATCTGGAGCTGAAAGAGGGTTAGAGGTGCAGGCAGAAAAGGATGTTTCTATGCAAAGATGACAGGTTGCAAATGGGAAGTGGCCTCCAATATTTTAGTCCCTTCTGAAACGCTCAGGACTGGGCAGCAACAAAAAAAATATGAACACTTTTCCAGTAGGGCCGAATCCCATCCAATTAAACAGATAAAAACATAAAGCAAAGCTTCCCTACTTATCAACACTCAACCCAGAAGATCTTATAACTCTAAGATGCTCAGCCTCAGAATTTGGTTAACCTTCTAGCACTGGTAGAATCACAGAGGTGGGATCAAATCCAGGAAATAGTTGGACCTTGCCCAACAGGTGGCTGTCTAACCTCTGCTGGAAGAACTGACAGAATGGAGGGCTGCTACTTTTCAGCAGCCATCAACAGCAGCAGCTATCCAAACGGGAAGCCCTAATGGAAATTCTAACCTTGTCAGTCTTGAAGGCTGTGGCAGGACAGGCTCTCTGGGGCCAGAAACATTGTAGAGAAAGATGAGCTCAGCTCCGTCTGGAGCTAACCTTATGATCTGCTCTGTTCTCAAGAACATCTCTTGTTTTTCATGACAAGCGGAAAAAAAATTCTTGGAAATCCTGATGGTGAGGGTGGGGGGGGGGCAGCTATGAGGTTCCATTAAGGAAGTTATTCTTTTCAGATTAGTTGTTCTAACAGAGTTTGTGTCTGTAACAGGGAAGAAAGAAACTTTTTAAGGGCTCCTTCTGAAATAAAAAAGGTCAAAACCGTCTTTGAACTGAAGTTTGTTTTAACATCAGGATGCTTCCTCTGTAAACTTCTACCCAAAGTGACTACTTCATGGCAAGGCTGGTCTGATTTGTTTTGTGTCCACATGAGCAGCAGAAAGCAGTGTTAGGTGGTGGTGGAAAATGCTGTCGCAGCTGACATGGCAGCCCTGTAGAGTTTTAAAGGCAAAAGATATTCAGAGGTGATTTGCTATTCCTTGCCTCTGTATGCAATCCCTGTCTTCCTTGAGGCCAACTCTGCTTAGCTTCTGAGATCTGATGGAATTGTGCTAGCCTGGGTACTTTGGTAGAAAATACAGGCCTTGCTTATGCACTTTTTTAAAACAAAAGGAATAGCCAATAGCATCCATTCAAAAATTCAGGAGAGGAGAAAAATCTTCTCCAGTCCAAGCACCCACACTCTCTGTAATACAGATGGGGAGATTTCTTCCGATATTGCACAGTGCATGAGTTTAGGTATTGCTCCTCTTTAACCGAGTTTCTTCTCTAGTTTCTTTGTCATTTTACCTGCTCTCTTCATTTGAACAACACAGGAATTTTGTGAATGTTATGGATTTGAAAGTCAACACCTCACTGTCTGAACTTGGCTCAGCACTGTTCTGTAGGCCAGATGCCCTCCAGCACAAAGGAGGCCTTTCTGATTTCCCCCTGATCAACAATGCAAGGCACATATAGGGCACTGAAATATAGCTGGTAATTTCCATGTGGATGTTTCTGCTTACTTTGAACTTCAAGAGAACAACAGTCATTGGGGCTACGCCGCACTTTTTCAGCCAGCTGCTCTTTCTTTATTTTCACTTTCTCCTTCTGCAAACAAAAAGGGAAGACACAAATTTGGGGTCACTGCCCATGAATTATCTGATGTGCAGTGTGACTTTGGAGAGACTGGCAAGAAACTGATCTAGCCTTTATTGGAAACATTACATCGAGTACTAAGGGCGTCTCCCCAGCCTACAACATAGGTAGTTGTTGTGCCTTTAGGACTCTAGAACACTACAGAACTATTAGAACTGTTGTTTTTATGTTTTTGTATAAGTATTTTAGCTTGGTTTTAATTATGTGTTTTTGTTCGGTTTTAATGGTTTTTAAAGACATGTTTTATTATGTATGCATGTTTTTAATGTTAGCTCGCTTGGTGGCCCTGATGACAGGAGAAAGACGAGGTATAAATTTTGTAAATAAGTAAATAAAGTTTGCATAGTCTTGTTCCAAAAATGAACTCATGCACATAACAGAAAACTGACCTTACTTGCCATTTCCAGTGACAGCATTCTTTTCACGACATCATCCACCCTATGGGGGAAAAGCACAGAGAGCCCCTTGGTTTCTGCCCCCTGAACAATTTAGCATTTTGAGAGCAGCCTTAAGGATTTTAAAGTCAAGGAAATCATGTCCTTTGAGATTCAGAATAACTCAGTCTTGAGAGCCTTCTTTTGCTCTGGAATGTCAGTGTAAGCAAAGGAGAAACATGTAAAAGGAAGGACAATTTTAACAGGATCAGGAAATCATGATGGCTCCCCTCCATTATCCCACCTAGTAAAATGAGGCCTTAGTAGCCTCTTCTCCATCCTCCACTGAGCAATAATTTGGGAGGATGCAGAGTTAAGGACAACACAGTGCTGCATAAGTGCCATCTAGCTTTCCCATTTCCTCCATCACCTTCCTTTGACACAACTCTTGGCTTTATAAAACTTACTTGTCGATAATTGGGACGTTGGCGTAACGTTTCATCAATAATGTAGGAGGAAGGTCATCCAAATGGCTATGGATTTCTGCAAACAACAGACATATAAAAGCATAAGTACTGCCTTTGACCAAAATCATCCAGTTTAGCTTTCTGTTTCCACCAGGAACCAGTAGGATATTTCTGGACCTAAAAAGCTGGTGCTTGAGCAGTCTGTAAAGACAGCTTTCTTCAGCCCTTGGCAGATATAGAATAGGGAAGTGCCATGCAGAGAAAAGGGAGATTCCAGCTGAGAACACTTTAGTGGCTCAGAAGTCATAAGGAAGCTAGCTCAACATTTTTATTGAGCCAACAATACATGCAGAGTGGGTGGTGGATTTGTGTCAGTATAGTCAGCAACTTTCCAACAGGCAAAACATTTCAGTTTTCTACCAAGGCTCAGGAAGACAGACTAATCATCTCCAGGACAGGATCTGGACCCCAAACAAGTGAGATGACAAATTCCACCAGTCCTATTGCATTAATAGCACATGACACCATGCTTTTTGGGTGGCACAGAAGAGAACTGCAGAATAATTCAGAATACAAACCTGGCTTCCTTTTCCGGACACCCCTGGGATAACCCCTTGCTGTTTGAAGGAGTGGACTTTTACCTAAACAGAGAAAGATTTATTATAAATTGTGACATTTCATTCACACATTTCAAAAAATAATAATAATAATGCAACACCAAAAGAGGCATTCCCTTTCTGGGTAGTTAATGAACAACATAGCCGAACTGTTATGTATCTTCTCTTTCTTTGGACAGTTTGAACAGCCCTGTCATTCTGAGAATGCCATCCCAATGAGGGGCTCATTTTTAAGCTTTGGAAGACAATTTCAGATAGTATGAAATGCAGCTCCATTTACATGTGGGGATGATTCAGTATATGTCTATAATACCAGTGCTAAAAGAACATCATCGGATGCCAATCAAAGTCCAAGTTCAATTCAAAGGGCTGGTTAAAGCCCTTCACCCACATGGGTGATAGGCGGCTTTTCCTGCTCTGATCCCACCTACTGTCACTCCTTGCTGGCCATGCCATCCCTTTCCATGTGCACATGGCCTCTTATCAGCAACTGGGCCTCTCCAACAGACATTGGGTACCTTGCAGCACCCAGTACCCATACACCATTAACTTTTAAAGTATGACATCTCTACTTGTGATGCCCACTTCAAGCTAAAACACTGTAGGTACCGCTTGTCCAGAGTTTCTAAGCCCAGAATGGCAGTGTTTTTGTACCATGCTGTACATGCAAAGAAGGCCTCTCCTGACTTATGTGTCCCCTCCATCTCCTCCTTTATGCTTCCTGTTCTTCCCTTCCCACCTTGGCTTAGTTCCAATAATATTTCTATGTAGACTTGTAAAATTTGGCTCACCAGGAGGCATGACTCATCTCCTGGGAAGAGTTTGGTGGCAAGAAGTAACTAGAATGTATCAGTCTGGAAGGAGGGTTTTTTTTGTGACCTAGGGTAGACTTCAAATTGGATCAAGCATACTGCAGTTTAAAAGACTTTCAAGTAAAAGGAAGTAAAAAGTGGGTTACAGATTACTTAATGTGCTGTAATAGCTGTCTGATGCACTTTCAGTCACATTGCCCTGCCAACAATTCAAAAACATAATACTCAAGATCACAGTGCATTAATTATACAAACTGAGATGAAGACACGACCTCAGTTTATTGCTTGGGTTGTGAGCATGTCTTTGGTGCGTTGTTGGGCAAGACTGGGAAGACTCAGGTCTGAATCCCCACTCTGCTCTGGAAGTTTGCTGGGTGACCTTGGGCCAGAAACACACTCTCAGCCTAGCCTGCCTCACAGGATTGTTGTGAAGAAGAAATGAAGGAGAAAAGAACAATGTAAACATCTTTCAGCCCCTATTAGGGAGAAAGGCAGGATGCAAATGAAGCAAATAAATATACATGTGCCTGAACTCGAGAGCATTCAAGAGGCCCTTATGAACTTGTTGGGATGCTCCATCACCTTCCTTCTGATGCCGATAACTGCATCAAGGATGGTTACTAAGGTGTCCTGAGCTGGTATGGCCTCTCTCTCTGTAGTGCTAATGTAACAGGCAGAAACTCACCAGATGATATCTTTCTCAACACCATAATGCAGCTCCGTGTGGGAAATGGGCTGAGCTGCTGAGTTTCTACTTGCTGGACACAAGACACACCTACTGCAAGCAACAGGGTTACTTCCTTCATCCCCTCATTTGTGTAATTCAGCTGCAGAATTCCCTGGGACTGGGAACAGGATGAAGAGGATCAGGCATTCACTATTCATCATGCCTCCAAGAAGACAAGCCACACCGTTGACACCTCAAGGTAGCTCACTTGTTAAGGCTATTCTTTTTTTGCTTTATTTTTACAATGTTTTTATGTATTCTAAAACCTGTGTTGGAGCAAAAGGGACTTTTTGGAGCATAAATATGAACAAGGAAGTCAAGCAATTTTTTCCTAATCAGGTTTCATAGTAGGATTGCCAACTCTTGGAAATTCCTGGAGACTTGGAGGGCGGAATTTGAGGAGAGCAGACATCTAAGTGGGTAATGCGGTTCCATAAAATCTACCCCCAAAAGCTGCCATTTCCTCCAGGGGAGCTGATCTCCGTTCTCTGGAGAGAGCAACTCCAGGTCCCACCTGAAGGTTAGCAGCCCTGGGTTCGAACTGAGCACAGCCTTACTGGGGATCCCTGCCGCTGTCATTGCCGTCGTTGCGTTCCATCCCCGCAGCAGCGCCGTCGCCGAGCTCCGCAACATTGCCCCACTGTGATTGCAGCCGCCACCGTGACTTCCCTGCTCAGTGAGTGGGCGCCGCCATCTTTTGACGTCAGAAGCCGGGTACGAGAGCATCGACCGGAGGCAGAAGAAGTGGCTCGCCTACTCCAACGATTTACGGCCGACGGTGGCCTCTTTCCGAGTTCTCGGCTCTCCGGCTCTGGAGCCCCAAGGGGGCGTTTCAAGAAGCGGTCATATTTGCTTAGGGAGGCCCACCACCTAGCGAAAGTTGAAGGTGTGCGCTGAAGGCTCTTTGGAGCTCGTGGAACGGAATGCCCATTGATTTGCAAAGATGTGAGCGAAGCGAGGATCGGAGGTTTTTTTTTTTTGGTAACCTCTACTGTTTTCCAGACGACAGAATTACAACTAATCCCCTGACTTCTCCCCACGCCAACAGCATAACATATGTTCCTGTCCCTGCACATAAAAATCTGTTCTCTTCTTCTGATACAAAATTGTTGGCCTAACACAGGACAATATTTTATTTGTTTCCACACATGTGGAAAGAATTACAACTGGGATCTATATGATGGACTGAAGGAACAACAGCAGTCAGGACATGGCAACATAGGGGCCACAGAAGCTGTCTTCAGCAATATTCTGAAGAGATGTCCACTTCACAGAAACTCACAGTACTGAGGGTTTCCAGGGCATGAGGGCCACCAGTGACCAGGGGGCATGTAAGGACACTATTTTCCCCTAAAACACAATAGTTTAGACCTGGATCCGCCTCCACGTTCTCCTTACTTGCCCACTGCTCCTTAGGACTATCAAGGCTCCCTTCTAAGAAAAGTCCCTACACTTCCCAGGTGCTTAGAAAGGTTTGTGACAACCTGAGATGGCTTTGGCATACCTTGGTGACAACAGCAGAAATATACTACCATAGTGCCACCATCAAACCAGGCATTGTCAAAAAAGGACACTTATGATTGGGAACAATACAGATAACAAAGCAAAAATCCATGTTAGGCTAATTGGTTTGATACTGTTTTGTTCACAATTTTAGCCACATTGGTGAGGATCCCTGAGGATATGAGCTTTGGAACTATGTTTTTGCAGCATGGTGTTGCCATGAATCCTTGATTTTTGTAGTACACGCTGTGGCCATGGACATGATATATGATTTGATGGCAATGTTGGTGTGACCCACTGCAAAAACTCTGAGGATCCATCGTTTGGAACCATGTTTTTGCAGCATGGTGTTGCCATGAAGCCATGCTTTTTGTGGTGCAAGCTATGGCCATGGACATATGTGATTTTACGTGATGCTGGGGTGACTCAATGCAAAAACCCTGAGGATCCATTAAGATCTGTGCTTTGGAACCATGTTTTTGTGCTGTTGAGGTGCCACGAGGCCATGGATACGTGATTTTTGTGGAACTGCCTATATAGACTAAGACACAGCCTACAATATGATGGTGGTTTTATTTTGTCTCAACATAAAAATCATATGAATTCATGAGGACCCATGGCTTGGATCCACATTTTTGTGCTTCTGCAGCACTGCAAAGTGTTGGATTCATATTTTTTATCGTCCAGTCCATAGTTTGTGGCTTCCGCATGGAATTTGATACTGGATTTGGTGGAGTTCCCATTTATGCAAGATGGGTTGAGAGTCTTGACAGTTAATTAACGCAGCATGGAATTGCCGTAAATTTTTGCACATCATTTGTGCAAGAGCTACATTCTTTATGACCATGTAAAGTATCCTGGAGTAGGTTACACTTATTGGACTGCTCTCCTTCATTCACTGGCCCCAAAGGAAACAGCTAAAAAGTGGTTAAAGGAAGTCCCCTCAACGATCTCCACCTTGGTATCATCACAGAATGAAGTCAGCATCTTGCAGAGGAAGTTCTCTGGAGTTTGCGTGATGGCATTGGACTTTTCACCCAATATGCACCTCTGGCATATTAGGGGCTGCTTCCTGCATGCAGAACAAGTAGGGCAGGGTTCCCCAATGTGGTGCCCATGGTGCCCACAACAGCTTTCCTGGCACCCAGGTATTTTCAGAAAGTGGGTGGGGCCCAGTGGGGCTCTAGCCCAGCATGGCTTCTGATTGGTCACTGAAGATCTGATTGGCTGTCACGCCCGTAGCTACATTGGGGCTTTTGGGGGCTCTGCCCGCTTTGTTATAGGCACAGCCCCACAAGAATTTCTCCTGCAAATGCTTTTTTCAATCATTTTAAAACACTTTAAAAAGACGTGTGCTCCTTCAAGCAGAGTTGGGTGCTGTAGTTGAGTAATTCTCACACTGAGCAAGGGGGTTGGTGACCTCTAGGATCCCTTCTAACTCTGTGTCAAGAAACTGGTCTCCTTTAAGAGAGTGTTTCTGACTAAGTATTGGCTTTCTTGACTATAGAAGTCATCACCTCCACCTGCCAGCTTGTTATCAGAATTGTTGCTGAGACTTGCAGAAGTGATTAACTTGCAGCAGCTGAGAACTGTCATCTGAAGTGGTTGACAACTTGCAATTTAGAGATCTATCCTGGTAACAGAATTCGGCTTTTCTTTTTGAACTGAGAACTTCAGCCCCATCAGAAAACAATTTGCCCCACAATCCACAAAATCCTGGCTACGGGCTTGTCGGCTGTGCAGATTAAAATAAAGTTGTTTTGGTGGCAGCTGCATTGGTTCTATTCTGTATCTCAGTCCGATTCCCCAGTGGACTGTTTAAATTACCTCTCTTCTTCCTTGCAGTTGGACTTTCTCTGGGTGTGTTTTGCTCCACCTCACACAGCAGCCATTTTGTGACTGTGCCCAGCACCCTGTGGCAAAATTCGAAAGGTACCCAGAGGCTTAAATAGGTTGGGAACCTCTGAAGTAGAGGAATGCAAGAGGACCTTCCTCACGGGTTTACTGTGATTGCACACACCATTAAGGATCATGACATGGCTTTAATTTGTAACATTTTATATACACAATAAATAGTAGAGGTAGCCGGAAAAATAAAAGGCTTGAAGGGCTTCCTGCTTAAACTCTTTTTGCCTGGTCAGGTTGAGGCAAGACCCATCCTGCTTCCCATTTCCCAAGCTGCTTCTCTCATGCTTTGGGCTGCACTGGGCGTTGTTATGCCTTGTCTCTCCCTCCCCAGTAGGGATGCCAGCCTCCAGGTGGGGCCTGCAGATCTCCTGGAATTAAGAGTTCATCTCCAGACTACAGATACCAGTTCCCCTGGAGAAAAAGGATGCTTCGGAGGGTGGACTCCATGGCGTTGTACCCCACGGAGGTCCCTGTCCTTCGCAAAGTTCCACCTCCAAATGTGCAGGAGTTCCCCAACCTGGAGCTGAGTGGCTAGGGGGAACCTGGCAACCCTATTCCGCAGGATGCTGAGCAGCACAACAATAATCAAGAACTGATCAGGGAAGGTTTTCCCCCCCCCCCCACTTCGCTTCTTGACTTCCTCCTCTTTACAGTCCGTCTATGGTCTGGGCAGCTCTTGAACACAGGGTACATGGAGCCGGTCTGCTGCCCAACAGCCTCTGTTGGCCTCCCCCAGAAATGCACAAAGCAGCTCTCGTTTCTGCCCTGCTCTCTCTCACACGCACAACAGTAGCCCTGCTCACATGTTGCAGTGAACACACATACATACATATGGCCAGGTTTTGCCTCCATCTGTTTGTAAGAAAAAGCAGTGCAATCCTATGCAGAGCAGCTCTAGACTAAATCTATTGGATTCCATGGGCTTGAACTGGAATAACAGCATAGGATCGCTCCATCATTCTACTTGCTGATGACTGCAGAAGAGGAATGAATGAGCAGTGCAAGAGGATCCCAGAATGGAAGCAACAACAGCAACAAGGGTGTTAGAAGAGGAGTGTTCTAGGAACATCAGCGTGTCCCTGTTTCAACCAGTTAAGCACTGGTGGATCTGCAGAGTAAAGTTGTCCTGGGGAAAGCAGCTGGCACCTGCCAGAGGGCTCCTCTATTAGAGTTCTGTTTTTGTGGCCCTTTTGGCATAGCACAACATTGCTCTCAACTGTTGTTAGGCTGAAACACGAAGAATGGAAGAAGAGGGGATGAGCCTCAGTCTGAATAAAAACCATGAAAACCCCAACGTGATTCAAGAGAATAAACTTTCTGAGCTGCTCCCTAGGGAGCCATTGCTGGGACTCTGTGCACGTCCTGTTGCAGCTAGTGCCCCAGGTTTCTTCATATCTGCATCTGCATGATGCTAGGGACACACAGGGCCTGGGATGTGGTGAGCAGCAGAGACAATGCAGAACTCTGATGATGAAGGTGATGGGGGGGGGTAGGAAACGGGAAAGCTCTAAGACCACCCACTGAGGCTTGATAGCCTCTGGGCCACCCCTTAAGGCCTGGGGGCCTAACGGCAGGGAGCAACATGAGAAAATTCATCATTGGCATCGCGTTTGGTGGCCTCCGATAGGAGCTGCAGGGAACAAGAAGAATCAAAGATCTGACTACTTCTGGTGAGTCTATTCTGCTGGATTGTTGGTAGAACAGAGAGTACCATCCTGGGAACACCAACTCCATGTGCTTGAGATCCCCAGAGAATGAAGGCAGAGGGCACAATGGTAATCAGACAGCACTTCCCTCATGGAGACGGAGGGCTACAACTGCAAGCAGGAGCAACATTGCACCCCTCCAATGCCAGCCAGATACTACAACCTTCAAAAGTTGCTCAGATCTTCATCCCCATCAATCTTTACACCCTGTAGTAATGGGAAATCCACCAGGGCCCCCTCCAGGAAGATGGCTTCCTCTTGGAAACTGCAACTATGTGCCCCAGCTGGCTGGCTGCCATGAAACCACAGGTTCTCGTAGGGCTCTGGGCTGGGCATCAAGTCACCCAGAAGTGGCTGTGTAGAGTTGGAGCGCAAGTAGAGAGAGGACGGTGCTTCCTGCTGGCTATGGTAGCTGTCCATGAGCACCTTGGCATACTGGACGGACTCTGAGCGGTTTACGTGAGATGCTGGCTTGGGGCTGCTAGTTGGCACAGGAGCACCAGCATTCGAAGGCTCTGACCATGGACCATCAAGCAGGGGCTTTGGTGACTCACTCTTCTCACAGGAGAAGCCTTTCTTCTTATCCTTTTCAAGCATTAAGATGGCAGTAATGATGGGACTAAGTTCTCCTGACTTGTTAACCGGGAAGAACTCCTGGGGAGAAGATGGGAAGAAACAGAACAGTTAAAGGAAGCAGCCCAGAGCTCAACATATAGCCCAGAACTGCCCACCTAGGTCAGAGCAGGGGGCCATCTAAGTGCCATCTTGTCCAAGTTTGGGGATCAGGTTCCTCAGGAAAAGTCCCATGCCATCCCATGTTAAGACCCCAAATTCTGCAGAGGCAGACTGCCTCTGAACATGGAGGATTTGCACAACAGCCACCAACAGACTTATTTCTCCATCTGTTCAACAGGACCAACACAACAGGTGTTTCCCATTTCAGGCCCTCATCACCAATCTCTGTGGTGGGTGGCTGTGGAGGTTTTGTGTCTCACTGCAGAGTCTCATCTATAGGCTGATGGGGGGGGGGCATATGCATGCAACATCGCAGTTTCCCAGCTGTGCCTCCACCAGCAGAAGCATTGAATTGTAGGTAAGAAGAGCACTGAAATTGCAGTTGATTGACTGGAAAGGGAGCAGCAGCTGGCCTAGCTGCAGAGTTGACATTATTACCTCTTGCAGCACTGCCGGAGCCCATTTGCCGAGACTGCTGTTGGCTGGATCGGGGACGGTGGGCCAGAACTGCAGCTTCATCCTGTGGATCACAGGGGAGAGAAACCAGCTGAAACTTGGGGGAGTGGTAGCATTCCCAAAGACCACTGGCCTCTCTGCGAAGAGTGTGGCCAAGAGAGTCATTGATCTGTGGGCTGTTTTCAAAGCCAAGCTCTGGCTATCCATGCTCTGAAGCTAAAGACAGCCCTGCCACCACCACCTTCGCACTTCATCCCTTCTCCACCACTGGTCCTTCTTCCGTTCTCCTCTGTATCTTCTGCCAGGCTACATTCTCCATACCCCAAAGCATCATCCCTGCTGGGCCAGTTTTTGCAACAAGCCAAAGGGCAGCCAGCATGTCACAGGCATGCTCATCTTGCTGCTCTGTAGTCCTCCAAAAGTACCACAACACCCTCTTTGCTCAGAGATGATGACCACATGTACCCCATGGGGTGCCCACCAGTATCATATCACTTCTGGTGCTCTGGAGAACTCCTGCCTCCCTCTGTCCTCAGTGGCCTTCTTCCTGTTTCTGCCTGCTGGAAGGTGCAGTCAAATCACAGCCTATTTATGACCACCCCCTTAGGTTTTCAAGACAAGATATGAACAAAGGTGATCTGCCATTGCCTGCCTCTGCATAGTAATGCTGGACTTCTTCAGTGGTCTGCCACCCAAGTACTAACCAGGGCTGACCCTGCTAAGCTTCCTAGATCTGATGAGACTGGAATACCCAGGGCCATCCAGGCCAGGGTATTCCTGCCTAAGACGCACCAATTCAGCAAAACTGAATCCAGTAGCCAGCCCTTCTTCCTGTCCTGCTGCACCAGAGTCTCTCCTGGTCCACCTTCATCGCTCGCATGCCACTCCTTGACCTCTCCTTGTCCTAGGCCCACTGAGCAGGCTTTCTCTCTCTCTTCTGTGTCTACACAGCACCCAGATCTTCAATAAGAGTCTGTATCTTCTAGCTCCTTCCCATACTCACTTTTTGCTCTTGTGGAAACAGATGACGAGGATGATCAGCATGACCAAGAGCAGAACGATAAGTAGATACGCAAATGAAATGTCCATGTCATCTGGAACAGAGAGCAAAGTATTAGCAGGTGGCAGGCACCTACTCCAGGGGCCAATATGTGGAGAAGGAGAGCAGCTGGGCCCTTTGAACTGAGCTGGTTCACACATGCATGCCCTCTGTTTCTGGAGTGCAGCATTCAGTGGGACATGGGTGGATGAATCATCACAAACAGAACTTTTCGGTTGCCAGAAACTCAACTGATCAAGAGGACCTTTTGAAGACTCCAAAAGGCTCAAGGCTGACAATTCATTTGAGGGTTCCCTTCTTGGTAACCACATTGTCACTGTCACTTCTATGCTCAGTTGGGAAATTACACACACACACACGCAAACACAAACACATTCTCTTTTCAATAACCATCTGTATTTGACATCAGAATTGAATACTGCAGTGCGTTAAGATTTCATGCCTAAACATTGAAATATACAACTCCGCAGAAAGGTTATAGTCACTTGCAGAGCCTGGCACGCCTTCAAATCAGGTATTTCTGTTTAGGACCTAAAGTTAGCAGGGTACTGGGAAAAAAATCTGGCAAGTGATGCAAAACCATGGTCACTAAGGGCCAAGGTACACATTGTGATTTTCAACATGATGTATCAGAATTCCCCAGCCTGATTTTGAATGAATCAGTCAATTATCCACTGAGAATTTCCTGCTGGAACTCATTTCACAAGTACGTGGGTCCATGATTTGGATCAGGGCTTGTGCGCCCCTTCCTTCCTATGCTGTTTTCCTGACCCAAAATGTCCCTGGAGGTGCTATTTGCCCTGTTGGGTAGGGGGCCTGCAAAAGTAGCCCATCAGTATACATGCAGCTTCTATTCCTTGTATACTGTCATCCTGATCTGAATCAGGGCCCCATGTGCTTGGCCAAGGGGATTGGTTTGTGGCTAATTGATTCAAAGCCTGGCCCCATCGGGGCCCCATGTGCTTGGCCAAGGGGATTGGCTTGTGGCTAATTGATTCAAAGCCTGGCTAAGGACACACCAGGCACACCACTCCAAGACACATAGCTTGGCCCTGATTCACGGATCTCTCTCGTTTCATGGCTTGGCAGCGCTCTCCTTACCTGTTCCTTTGGTGTAGAGCATCAGGATGGTTCCATTGGTGCTTCCACCCATGGTGGAGGCCATGATGTGCACTTTGTACATCATCAAAGGCCTGAGACCTGTGATGGTGAGTGTGTTCACAGAGGAGTTCACAACGGCACCTAGAGAGGAAGGCAGCCAGTCTTAGCCAAACCAGCATGGAAGGAAGCACAGGGTGCGTGGGGGGGGGCAAATTTGGGGAATGCTCTGTGTGGGGGCGCTGAAGCAGAACTGCCAGTGGGTGGGACTTGGCATTTAGTATAGATCGCTTGTTTCCCTCCCAAGTGTGGAGGAAAACAATGATGCAAGTGGCACTTGAACACACAAGAAGCTGCCTTATATGGAACTGGACCCTTGGTCCACTGAGGTCAATGTCTACTCAGACTGGCAGCAAGCTCTCCAGGCTGTCAGGATGAGGTCTTTCACATTACCTACTGCCTGGTCCTTTTCAACAGGAGATGCCACGGATTGACCATGGGATCTTCTGCATACCAAGCAGAGGCTTTTCCACTGAACCACAGTCCCTCCCCAGATCAGGGCCTGGGAGAGAAGCCATGGCAAGACCAGACACAGGAAGGTCCAGGGGAAAAAGGAATGAAGAATTGGGAAGAACAGAGAAAGGGAAAGCCTTACTGGACTGATCGGCTCCAGAAGGTAGAGCTGTGGAACTGCTGCTCTGTCCCATGGTACTGATGCTATGGAGCCCTGCAGGGTTCCATCTTGTTTCCCGTGCTGTTTAATGTCTACATGAAAATGCTGGGAGAGATAATCAGGGGACCTGGGGGCACCAATATGTGGAAAACACCCAACTCTGATTCTCCATAATGGCTGACTCAGGTGGCTACGTGGTACTTCTTAACAAATGCCTGAAGACAGTATTGGGATGAAAGAAGGCCAATAAACTGAGGTGCTGTTGGCTAATGACAAAGTTGCTTGAGGACTGAGGAGTTATCCTGTCTTGAAGGGGGCTGCACTCCCCCTAAAGGAGTCGGTTTGTAGCCTGGGGGTGCTGCTGGATCCTGGCCTACAGTTGGAGGCCCAGATCTCCCTCTGTGGCACATAGTACCTTTTATTGGCTGCTGTTGATATGCTAGTTATGGCCGTCCCTCAAAAAGCATGGTCTGGTCATGTGATTCATTCTCTGCTTACATCCAGGTTAAAGTATGGTAATGTGCTCCACCTGTGTCTGCCTTTGGAAACAGTCTGGAAAACTCAGCTGGTCAAAAATGTGGCAGCCAGGCTACTGACAGAGTTGGGGTACAAGGATCATATCACCCTGGTGTTGACAGATCTGCCCTGGCTGCCTATTATGCCCATCCAGGCATAATTTAAAGTGCTGGTTCTTACCTTTATGGCCCTAAATGGCTTGGGGCCAGGGCACTGAAAAGACTGCCTTCCCCCCATATTGTCCATCCCACCAGTTAAGATCAGCCACACAAGCCCTGCTCTCTGTGCCCCTTCTCTTCAGAAGTGAGTTGGGTGGCAACCAGAGACAGGGTCTTTTCAGTAGTGGCACCTGTCCTACATGGAATGCCCTTCCCCTTGAAGCTCACCCGGTGCCTAACATTACTCTCTGTTAGGCACCAGACCAAAACATTTCTGTTTACCCACCCAAGCATTTAATTAAGGGATTGATCTTTTTTATCACCATTTTTATAGTTGGTTTTAGTCTGTCTTAATGATCTCCTTATGTTTCTATGCTCTCATTGGTTTCTAATACTGGATTTTAATTGTTTAAAAGTTAAACATTTTATGTTTTTAATTATACTTTACTCTGTAAGCAGGTTACCTGGAGAGGCCACTCTGAAAAATACTCTGAAAAAATAAATAAATAATGCATCTTCCCCCTCTCTGCGGTTCTCCCAGCCTGAGAGCTGCACTTTGGCTGCAGCCATCAGTATGTCAAGGGCTGGGGTGCAGGCAGAGGGAAGTCCAAGTTCAGTCTGGGGTCTTAAGCCAAGAGGAGCAGAGCAGGAATCAAGAGAGAAAGTTCAAAACACAAACCGGGAGCAAGGTCATTCAAAGCCAGAGTCAGAAGCCGGAGGAGGTGCAGGAATGAAGTCTGGGAACAGGAGGCGGAGTTGATGCAAGGCTTCGCAGAGTTGACGGGTTTGCTTCCCCAAAGAAGCCAGCCTAGAGCCTGCATCTAAATAGCCCTCTGCTGCTGTTTCCAACTAGCACAGCGGCACTAGCAGCCAAGCGTCTGTCCAAACTCAGGACTAACTGACTGTCTGCTCCGCAAACAAGCTGCACGTCGCCTGGTTGCTAAGTCCTGGCGGAGTCAGTCTCATAAGCGAGCAACTCGCAGGGGCGAGTCAGGAGGGGTTTCCGCCTGTAGCTGCTCCTCATCAGCTGTTGCTGTGCCAGGTGCTAATGCGGGCAGTGATGGCAAATTGCTGATGTCTGAAGCTTCAGAGGGGCCAGCTGTGAGTTCTGCTGAAGCCGGCAACATCCCCTCCTCCACACCCATGACACAGTAAGCAGTAAGGACCACCAACAGGGAAAACAGTGGCTTCCTGGGGCCATTTTAGGTTGGGAAGCCCAGCACCTTTGCCCAGTTGGCAAGGAGGAAGCCAGGACACTAAAAAAATTTAGTGAATCTGGCATGTTTGTAGTCTGGATCCACACTACTGAAAGGGGGGAAAGCCTTAAGCTCCCAGGATGCTGCACTTCTGATCTGAATCCCAGCCTCCCCAAACCTGGGATCTGAGTTCCCATCATGTAGCCTCAGGTGAAACCTTGAGGAAGCCACGTGGACTTTGTTGCATGCAGATTGGCCCTTGGAGTCCAGAGACTGCCCTGCACAGAGCTGAGCAGCTTATCCTTCCCTCTGGTGGAAAATAGGAGTAGCAACATGTTTGAGGGCTGTGCAAGAACCAGTGGGGTGCAGTGGTTAGAACAGCAGCCTATATTCTGGGAGACCTGGGTTCAAATCTCTACTCAGTTGTGAACCTTGCTGGGTGACCTTGGCCAGTGAACCCAGCCTACTCCACAGGGTTGCTGGGAGGATCAAATGGAGAAAAGAAGAACCATGCATGCTGTTCTGAGCTCCTGGGGTGAAGGGGAGGATGCGTCTATATGGAGAGATGAAGGGATTGAACCGTAGGTGGGACTCACTGCTAGGGTTGCCAGGTCTGGGTTGGAAAATACCTGGAAACTTTGGGGGTGGAGCCAGGAGAGGGCGGGGTTTGGGGAGGGGAGGGGCTTCAGCATGGTACAATGATATAGAGTCCACCCTTCAAAGCAGCCATTTTCTCCAGGGCAGCTGATCTCTGTCATCTGGAGATCAGTTGTAAAAGCGGGAGATCCCCAGGCCCCACCTGGAGGCTGGCAACCCTACTCACTGCTCATGTCATCATTGAGGCAGATCCAGAAGATGGTGTAGTTGGTGATGAAGCCATTGCGCAGTTCCAGAGGGATGGGCTTCCAGTGAAGCTGGGCTGTTGTCTTGCCGATGCTGCCTGGGTAAAGTTTGGGACTGTCAGAAGGAGCTGTAAGGGGAGAGGGTTGTTAATAGCAGACCGTAGTACAAGAGGACGTGTGGTTTCAGTGAGGCTTGGCAAGGCAAAGATATACCCAAATCACCTGTGATTAGGTCCACAGCTCAGAAAATGTGATGTGTCTGAGCATGTGCAGAGTGTCTGCTGAGTAACCACAGGGGACTGTGGCATCCAGGAAAGGTTATCCCCAGAGTTTCTCCTTTTAAAAATTAGGCAGTGGGACCCAGAAATAGCTTGTGGGAGAGTCTTTTTCCTTAGGTATCTCTACTTCCCACTCCAGTGTCAGTACGATCAAGGGGCTGGATCTCACCGATCCATTTCGCTGACAAGATGCAAGCAGCCTTCAAGGGATGCAATAGGTACGGGTAGATCTCTTTGCACCAAGGGAAAAGTGCTACTGTGGTGCACGTTGGGACAAAGGTGATGCACATTGGGACAAAAAAAAATGCCAGCTTCAAGTACAGGCTGATGGGGTCTGAACTTGCTGAGACTGAGAGGGAAAAAGATCTTGGGGTTGTAGTGGATAGCTCAATGAAAGTCACAACCTGGTGTGCTGCAGCAGTGAAAATAGCAAACTATATGTTAGGAATTATTAGGAAATGGATTGAAAATAAAATGGCCAATACTGTAATGTCCCTGTGTATAGTTTTGGTCACAGTATCTCCAAAAGGACAATGCATCGCTGGATGAAGTACAGCAGAGGGCTGGGTAACCAAGATGATTAGGGGGTTGGAGCACCTTCCCTATGAGGAAAGGCTGAAGAGTCTGGGACTTTTCAGTTTAAAAAAGGGCGATATGATAGAGGTTTATAAAATTATCCATGGGGTGGAGAGAATTGGCAAAGAGAATTTTTTTCTCCTACTCCCAAAATACTAGAACTTGAGGGCATCCGATGAAGCTGATGGGCAGTAGGTTCAGAAAGGAAAAAAGGAAATACTTTACACAGAGAGTGATTAAAATGTGGAATTTGCCGCCAGAGGATATAGTGATGGCCACAGGAAAAACCAGCTTTAAAAGGGGGTTGGATAGATTCATGGAGGATGAGGGAAACCTCCATATTCAGAAACACTAATCTTCTGAATCCCGGAGCCAGAAGACAACTTCGGGGGAAGGCCTCCGCCTCTATGCCCTGTTGTTGGTCCTCCAGAGGAAGTGGTTGGCCACTGTGTGAGACAGGGGGTTGGAGGAGATGAACCATCGGTCTGATCCAGCAGGGCTCTTCTTATGTTCTTATGTACCGTTAGTGGAATGGATCTGTTGGATCCAACTCCAAACTTGTAAACAAATAGCAGCAAATAGCAGTTTTATGCAGCCAAGTTCCATCAATCCCCAGTGTGGCAGAGCATCAACATACCTTTTTGCCTGGTGTACACTTCTGTATGCTGGGCCATCCCCACTCCATCGTTGTAGAGGGAGTAGACGGAAATATTGTATCGCTGGTAAGGCTCAATGTTTTCTGGAAGAGAGAAGAGAGAAGCTGTCTGGGGCATGTAGACTTGGAGCCAGACTGGACTGGAAAGCTTGTAAGGAAGAGATGGACTTACAAAGCAGAGACACGACTGCAGAAAGGCAGTAGGAGGCCTGTAAGTTAACCCAGCTGGCCTCTAAGGTCAAGTCATATGTTTATTCATTCATTTATTTACTTCATTTGTATCCCGCCTTTCTCCCCCAATGGGGGTCCCAAAGCAGCTTACACTGTTCTCTCCTCTCCTCCGTTTTATCCATAGGTGAATGTTGATGCTCTTCGGACCTAGTCTGGTCTACTGGGCTGTGTTCAGCTTTGGGCAGCTGATCGTAAATCTCATCAAAACCGCAACCTTTGGTACCAAAATTGGAATCCACAGAAATGCAGCTTAGCCCTGGTCTCTTGCTTGTGCTTGGGTATAGTGACAATGCAGGAATTTATTTTGTCAAATACTTCTAAAAATCTTGTGGTTTATTAAAGGCAAGCCTCCCACCAACGTTGGTCTGTGTGAAGGCTCCAAAACTTGGTCAACTTGCATTACATGTTCACATTAATCAGGTTTAACAACTTAGTTCATTCTTTGGTTAAAGCAGGGCTTTTTTTGTAGAAAAAGCCCAGCAGGAACTCATTAGCATAACTGGCCACACCCAACAGCAGAAACGTATTATCTTATTAGGCCACACCCCTGACAGCACAGGTCATTAGCATATGAGGCCATACCCATGCTACCAGAAGTGTGCTCATCCAGCCACACCCACCTTTTGTTTCTTATTCTGTTTACCTTGTTTGTGGTCAAAACCCACGGCTTTTTTTGTAGCAGGAACTCCTTTGCATGTTAGTCCACACACCCCTAATGTAGCCAATCCTAATGAGTTTCTGCTGTTGGGTGTGGCCTATTATGCTAATGAGTTCCTGCTGGGCGTGGCCAACTTGGGAGCTAGCTGGAACTCCGTTCCTGTGCGTTCCTGCCCCAAAATAGCCCTGGGTTAAAGACTGTCTAAGCACATGACCACAATGGGGGGGGGGGAGAGTTACAGTCAGAGGTGTCACTTTTTCTTTCTCTTTTTTGGTATTTGCGTATGTGTGTGTGCATGTCTGCATATATGTATGTGCTTGCAAGCCTGGAAGTCATGGTGACTTCTGACAACCCCTAGTGGGGCTGGGACTTTTTCAGAGAGGTGGCTTGATTTCCTGCCTCTGCGTCCCAGCCCTGGTATTCCTTGGAGGTCTCCCATCCAAGGACTTGCCAGGGTCGGCCCTGCTTAGCTTCCGAGATCTGATGAGATAGCCTGGGCAATCCAGGTCTGGGCTGAGGCACCCCATTTTCCATTACCCAAACAGAAACAATTCCGAATGGAACTGAGAGCCAAAGCAGACACGCCCAGTAGCAACAGCCACATGTGGTGTATGTCTGATGCATTCAGGTATATGGAGTGTGGACATGAGTTCGCCTTCTCATAACAACAGGTGTGCTCAGGCAAGAGATGCGGAGCTCTTCTCCCTTTGCTACCTGCTGCTCTGTTAGAGCAGGCATTTTCCTTCCTGCTTGGCTCTGATAGCAAAAGGAAGAAAAACACCTGAAGACATGGAGAGGGAGCAGGAATAGGGGGAAAGTGGGAGGGTTCATCTCCTTCAAACCCCAGCACCTCTTTTGATGTACAAATCAACTCCCCCCCCAATAAATGTGGCTGTCCTCATACTTCTCATGGTCTGGACCTTAGAACAGCTATCATGCTTATGGAAGTGGCAGCCACAGAGATGGAGGTGCCTTTGGACATAAACTCAGCCCTTCCCTTTTCTCAGACATAGAGCACCCCTTGTCCTCCCAAACAGAGACCCCCCCTCCCCCAGACCCCCTCCCTCAGCCACCTTGGATCAGGATTTGTTTCTCCTCTCCGTTCTGCAGTTTTGTCCAGCTAATCTCAGCATCATACGAGGGGTCCACAGAGGTCATCCGCTGCCACTCAATGATGTAGCCACTGGTTGGTTTTCCCGGAGGATCCCAGCTCACAAGGATGCTGTTTTCCCCAAGAGGAGAGGCACGGATCCTGGGCACAGGAACACCTACAAAGGCAAACTGTTAGATGGAGACAGCAGAGCAAAGGCTAGCTTGGAAGGGCAGAAGTTGAGGGACCAGGGAGGGATTCTGAAAGTCTGCCTGTAAAGCAGTCACGCCAGAGCTGGCACTTCCCCTGGACACAGCACCATCCTAAGTCCACCACCTGCGGTCTGTGGTCTAGGAAAGTGTTGTGTAGTGGGTTAGCCGCACGGAAGAACCGCTGAGGCACGCATAGTACACAGCACACTTTATTAGTACACAACACGCACACCTACCAACGGCCAAACGGCCGCTTATATACATTCTGGGGAACCCCTGTGGAATCCCATTGGCCCATTCAAACCTCCCGCCAATGTCCCATTGGTTCCCTAGAGGCAGGGTGCAGGAGCCTAGTCCTCATTGTTCTCTGGACTCAAGCTCCACTGAATTGCAGGCGCCCAGTGGCGGTCTGCAGACATAACAGAAAGACCTTCCAACATACAGATGTGAAGTCCCAAACTCAGGAATTGTTTTGTGGGACCCAGTTTCCTTGAGCACAAGTGTGGAGGCTGCAGAGGGAAGCCAGCTTCCAGGTGGGATCTGGGGATCTCCCGGAATCCCCCAAACTGGATCTAGCAAACCTACCCTCCCATCCCCCGCCGGTGGCCAGGGGGGACCTGTCATCCTTAAGTCTGCATGATCTCAGCATTCACCCGCATGGCCTGTGGAACACACCCAACTTATTCCGTAGACATGGCAAAGAGTCCCACTGCCCCTCTTGCTTGGGGAGTCTGTCTGGCTCCTGACTGGTAACCAGGAAGCCCTGGGAATGAATGCAGTTGTATTCTTGGGGCAGCAACAGCAGGGCAAGAGATGCTTAACTATCTCAAAGGGGTTGCCAAGGGGCTGCCCCTGAACCGAGCAGGCTCCTACCTTTCTTCTGAAGTGAGACCTCAGTAGGGGGAGATGTGCCTCTTGCATTGTAAGCCATGAGATAAATTCTCTGTGCTCCAGACGGCAGGGAGAAATTGCAGTGCAACTCTGTGGTGTTACAGATGGTTGACAGCTGTCCATTGTGCTGCCTGGGACTGAGGGTGACCCAATAACCCAGAATTTTGCCCTTGGTCTCCTTTGGTTTCATAGGCTGTGAAAAGAGAAAAACACCAGTGGGAAAGGGGTGCTAATGGACTATGAATGATTTAAAAATGGCCCCCAGAGAAAAGACAGAAGGAGGGTGGACCAGAGGTGCAGATCGACAGCTGTACCACTTTCCACTAACTTCTACCAGTGCCGTGGCTTTGTCCAAGGGATCTGGGCCATTTGGCAAGAGTGGTGGGACTTTGAGGCTAGAGACTCCCAGCTCCCTCCCTCACAATGCTAGACACTTTGACAAATTTAAGACTGCAATGTCCAGGCTGGGAACTTCTTATGCACTGCATGCTGAAAAGAAACCAGGTATCATGGGTATCTGATAGGGCTGCCAACCCCCAGGAGGTGGCTGGAAATCTCCCGCTATTACAACTGATCTGCAGGTGACAGAGATCAGTTCCCCTGGAGGAAACGGCTCCTTGAGAGGCAGGCTCCATAGCATTACGCCCCAGTTGAAGTCCCTCCCCTCCCCAAACCCTGCCCTCCTCAGGCTCCACCCCCAAAATCTCCAGGTATTTCCCAACTCAGAGCTGGCAACTCTAGGATCTGATAGAGGGAGTTTTGACTCCCCCAATTCCAAAGGCCAACCAATTCATTGACATCTCACATTTCGTAGCCTCCCCAAATCTGATGAAGGGAGCCTTGCCTCTCAAAAGCATGTGCCCTGAAGATCTTGTTGGTCTTTAAGGTGCTACTGGACTGAAATCTTGCTCAGGTTACACCAGGGAGGCTCAGACTACACCAGGGAAACCCAAATTCTGCAACCCAAATAAATTATTCAAAGGTGCATAGACACTGGTTTTCTTTGCCTTAATTTTATCTGATTGCTATGGAAGGAGAAACCGTGCTGCCTGCAACTCACTGGGAATCCCATTCAGCCCCTTTCCGCACACTGTTTCCAATCTTCTCCAAAGGACTACAAAGTTGCTTTGACAAAACTGCTTTCACTTGAAAAGAAAAGTGCACTGTCAAATTTGGGTAGAGCCGCACAGCTGTTTGTCTGGTCTTTGAACGTAGACCAGCCAACTGTCCTTTACAGATCCTGGGATAAATCCAGCAAATGGGGGTTTTCTTGCCATGGAGGCATTTGCAGGGTAGGGGGTGGGGGACTTACCTTCCACAGCAGTTGCACCTGTGTTCCCTGTCCAGCTTCCGCAGGCTTCATCTTCCACCAGGCATCAAGCTCCCCTGAAGGTACTGAAGGAGAAAGGGGGGGGGGTGTTGGTGACTGTCTTGACTAGATTGGTTGGCTGTTTAGCATCATGTTTCAATTGTTTTTGTATTTGTGTGTGTGTGTGTGTGTGTCTGCACCTGGAAGTCATGTTGATCTCTGGTGACTGACCCCTACTGGGGGCCTGGAAGATATTCAGAGAGTTGGCTGAATAACGCCTGCCCCTGTCCTCCTGACTTGGTATTCCAAGGAAGTATCCCATCCAAGTACTAACCACAGTTGACCCTGCTTAGCTTCTGAGATCTGAGGAGATTGGGCTTGCCTGGGTTATCCAGGTCAGGGCATCCTGTTTCATTTAGGCCCACAGTCAGGCTATAGGGAAGGGGAGTGACTCAGGAATTGTAGGTGTGTGAGGTAAGGTTAGGCAAACATCTTTAGGTCAGCTTAAAACAGGAAAAAAGTGTACCTTCACTCAGCTTGAAATGACTTGATTTATTAATTTACATTACTCTCAATTTTCCTTGTCAGGTGTCTGAGAGCTCAAGGAAGTCATAGACCCTCAGGGGACAGGGTTGCCAGTTTCCTGGTGGGGCCTGGAGACCTCCTGGAGAATTACAGCTAATCTCCAGATGACGGAGATCAGTTCCCCTGGAGATAGAGTTGCCAGATCTAGGTTGAGAAGCTCCTGGAGATTCAGAGATGGAGCCTGGGGAGGACAGAGACCTCAGTGGGGTATAATGCTATAGAATCCACCCTCCAAAGCATCCATTTTCTCCAGGGGAACTGATATATGTAGTCTGGAGATCAGCTATAATTTGGGGGAATCCCCAGGTCCCAACTGGAGGCTGGCATCCCTACCTGGAGAAAATGGCTTCTTTGGAGGGGACTCTATGGCATTATACCCTTCTGAGATACCTCCTCTCCCCAAACCCCACTCTCTCCAGCCTCCTCCCCCAAATCCCCAGGAGTTTTTCAACTTTGATTTGGGAACCCTATGAGGGGAGCATGGGCTGATATTCCACTCGCACCAGACGGCTTGCATCTCTCTGATGAAACAGTTTTTGCGCTTCACAAAACGTAAAGCAACAGCTTAATGAGAGAACTACTGTGTCCCCAACACTGGGCTTTGGAATGCCCACCTACCATGGCGGCTGTCCTCATGGGTGGTGAAGGTCTTTGTAGGACTCCAGTCGCTCATGTATCTGCCCTCAAATTTCTGGCAGCGCATCTGGAATCGATAGGAGATGCCAAAGAGGAAGCCACAGTGCTGGACTTGCCTGGTGGAGCTGGTGATATTCTGCACCTAGTGGCAAAACACACAAAAAGTCCATCTTTCCCATAGCCTGCCTACGGCCAGCAGCCTGGCTCAGGTTGGCCGCTGTATCCTCAGCCCCTTGAACAGTCTCTCCTAGGCTCCAGTGTCACTGGAAGGGCCTGTGAGCCTAAGCAACCTGGTCTGGGTTGGGAAACACCTGGAGATTTGGGGGGGGGGTAGAGCTTGAGGAGGTTTGGAGCAGCAACCATATGGGACAAATTAAACTGGCATACAGTGGAGTAAGTCCTGACCTGAATGGCCCAGGCTAGCCTGATATCGTCAACTCTTGGAAGCTAAGCAGGGTCAGCTCTGGCTAGGTCTTGGATGGGAGACCACCAAGGAAGTCCAGGTTGCTGTGCAGGGGAAGGCAATGGTAAACCACCTCTGAATGTCTCTTGCCTTGAAAACCCTACAGGGTTGCTCTAAGTTGGCTGCGATGTGACTGCACTTTCTACCACCACCATGGTGTGATTACATGCTAATTGCCGGACTTGCTTTCACTAAACCTGGAAGGGACAGGAACACAGAACAGCAATGGAAGTGTGCAGCTGAGCAAAAGCCCCTGGCTTGCAGGCTGCCAGGGAAGCAGGTGGGAGAGTGAAGTACTGGTGTGTGTGTGTGTGAATTGGTGGGGATGGAGGGTAGCAGAGATGGGTGTCAAGCCTGGACAGGTGTGAAGGTGACAACACAGAAAAGCCTGCCCTAAAGGGGTGCAAAGAGGCACTTGGAGCAATATCCAGGCAAAGCTGAAGTGGCTCTGAGCTGCCACTCACCAGCGTCCATTCCTGGTCACCCTCCGTGCGGTAGCGCAGGTCACACGACTGCTTCATGTACTTGCTGTCTTTGGCTTCCTCCCAGGCCACAGACACACAGTGGGTCTCCTCGGGGATGGACTGGATGGACTGGACAGCTGGGGGGTCCAGCTTGACTGGAATGAGAGGTGAATCGCAAAGTCAAAGCATGGCTGCCTTGAGGGTCTGTAACCTCTCCTGGGCTTCATCTGATGCTCCATCCATGCTCAGCTGTTCTATGAAGAACAGGATTGTAGCCCACTGCAGTGATTGTTGTAGGTATCACCTGCTTTTTACTGCACTGCCCTGAACATTTTATTTACATTTATTTTTTATTAATTTTCAACACTGTTACAACAAAGTTTAGCACTCGTAAGGGTCATAGCAAGAAAGGTTAAAAACATGCTTAAACAAATTTAGCAACTGGCTCAAATAGCGTTTCATGCCAGTCTACCGCATAAGAATATATAAACTTTGGGACATTTTGAGGTCACATAATAATAATAATAATAATAATAATAATAATAATAATAATAATAATAATAATGTAAATTTCTATATACCGGGTTATTCGGAATTATCCCACTGTTTTCTAAGTAGCTAATCATGGGAAACCATACCATCTGGAACCACTTTTGTTATTTTTCCGACTGCACCGCTGATGAGTTATATGAAGTGCGCCCATAAATGAAGCATTCCCAGATTTTCTTTTGCCGGCACATGAGAGTAGGGATATTTTTTTGTTTCCATTTTTGTGCAATTGTTATTTTTGCTAGCATCAATAAGGTAGCTATTAACGTTTCTGTGTTTTTATTACTTACAGATGTCTCCAAGAAAATGGAATCCAGACAACAAGGTAAATTTATATTCGTTATTAGTGAGATTTGTTTTATTATTTGTTCCCAATAGTATTTTATTTGTGGGTAAGTCCACCAGCAGTGAGCGAAATCTGCAGTGGCTCCACAATTTTTCCAGCATTTATTTGAGGTTTTTGGATTTATTTTATGGAGAACTGCCAGGGTCGTATACCATCTGTTTAGTATTTTAAATGAGGTAAATCTAATGTTGAAGATATTTGATGTGTTGCTAGGGGATGACCAAACTGAATTTCATTGTTCTTCTGTGAACGTTTTAGGCAGTCTAAGTGCCATTAAGGCTGATATCTTTGTTCTCTTTTAATAGCAGTTTGTAAAGCTTGCCTATCATTCCTCTTATTTCTCCATCTGAGTTTTAAAAGATTTGTTCAAATTCATTAAGTGGTCTAGAGAATATCATTTGTTTTTGCAGCTTGTACAGGAGGTCTTGAATTTGTAAATATTGAAAACAGAAGATTTTCCCATTTAATTTATTTTCTAATTCCAGTATGCTTAGAGGGTTCTGATAAATCTGACCTAAAGATTTTAAAGAATTCAGGGGTGAAGCCTCGCAGCCTGGTGTAGTGTTAGCTTTAAGATGCTTTATAGCGTCAGCTATTTCTTGGGAAGTGATAATGGAATCTAGAAATTGGTTGTGTTTGGGTGTGAGCTCTTTACACCATTTTTTTCCCTAAGAGTAGTTTTTGAATATTTTTTCTTGAAGGGTTATTAGATGTATATAATTTTTGGTAAAAATCTGCAAAGCAGTCGAGAATTTTCTTCTGGTCAGTATGTCTTTTGTGTTTTGAGTCTCTAATAGAAAAGACCTTACATTCAGAAAGTTTTCGGTTTACTCTCCATTTTAAGATTTTTAAATTTTTAAGGTTTTTCTGCCAAAACTGTTGTTTCAAAAAAAGTATGTTTTTCTGAATTTTAGTTGTTTCTAAAGTTTCTAGAATCCTGCGTTCAGCTAATAGTTCATTGTGAGTTTTTTTATTTCTCGTGTTTTTGTGAAGTGTTTCCAGCCTCTGAATTTTTTGTAACAGAATATTTATGTGTGTTTCTCTTTCTTTCTTTATTCTAGATGCTAAAGCTATCAGCCTCCCTCTAGTCACTGCTTTGAAAGCTTCCCAGAGAGTGAATGTGTCTACCTCTCCATTGTCATTTTCTTTGAAATAGTTGAATATTGTCGTCTTTATGTCCTCCTTGCAAGTGCCCTGAACATTGTGATCCACTTTCTGCACTGGTTAGAGTATACTTTGCCTTAGATGGTTAGTTGTTCACAATGTTTTCTAATTCTGCAATAACTCAGAGTAGCCTGAGCTCATCAAATGTTGGAAACTAAGCAGGGTCAACCAGGGTTAGTACTTGGATGGGAGACCACCAAGAAAGACAAGAGTTGCTATGCAAAGGAAGACAATGGCAAATCACTTTTGCTTATCTCTTGCCTTGAACACCCCATGGTCCTGCGGTTGTTCTAAAGGCCAACCAACCCATCTTACATTTTAAGTCAAATCTAAGCCACAGGTTATGGTTTCAACCTTTAAAGTCCTATGCAGCCAGGGACCTGCATATCTTTGGGACTGTCTCTCCCCACATGTGCCCCGCAGAGCCTTGCGCTCTGCAGGCCAACACCTTCAGGTGGTCCCCAGCCCAACGGACATCCATTTAACCTCAACTAGGGTCAGGGCGTTCTCTGCCTTGGCCCTGGCCTGGTGGAACATGCTCCCATTTGAGATCAAAGCCCTGCAGGACCTGCCACAGTAACTGAGCTGTTCTGTCAGGCCTTTGGCTGAGGTGACAGATGTCTATTACATCTCAGCCTCCCATGCAGAGGAAGAGGAGGAGGAGGAGAGAAGGAGGAGGAGGAGGAGGAGATTGGATTTATACCCTGCCCTTCACTCGGAGTCTCAGAGCGGCTTACAAACTCCTTTCCGTTCCCCTCCCCACAACAGACACCCTGTGAGGTAGGTGGGGCTGAGACAGCTATTTCAGGAACAGCTATAACAGAACTATGGCTTGGCCAAGGTCATCCAGCAGCTGCAGGTGGAGGAGTGGGGAATCAAATCCAAATCTCCCAGATTAGAGTCACTTAGCCACTACACCAAACTGCGATGTGGAGATCTGTTTAGTGATTAGATATCTAGAGGCTCCGCTGAATGATTTTCCACCACAGCATTGTCTACAGGACGATCATTCAACCATCTGATGCCCTAACCAAGACTGTTTTTAGATTGTTTTAATTCTGCTGTAACTATTTTAAGTCTATTTATTATATATTACAGTCACTACATTTGATGAGTTGTGTAACCTGCCCTGAGCCCGCTTGCAGGGAGGCTGGGATATAAATAAAAACAAACAAATAAATGTGATCAACAGAGCCTTGACTCTCAAAAGCCTGGAAATATTTTTAGTCCCTAAGGTGCAACCGGACCTTAATCTTGCTCTTCTACTACGGACCAACACCGCTACCCACCTGAAACCAAATCCAGCAGAATCCCAAATGGAGAATGCTGTTAAAATATTGAAGTAAGAAAACTACACTGTAATTTCATTGTGGGGAAATTAAAGTTTTTGAAAAGTTGCTTGTCATTTTTTCCACCCACAATTCATTTCAAGGTCTCCTGCAAATTAAATGAAAGCCCTTTGTTGCACCCCCATCTGTGTCAACCACCGTCACATACCTAAGTCCATTGGATCTGCGCAAAGGAGCTCTGATTGTGCAACTCCCAGGCCGTTGCGTACCATCACCCGGAAAGCCATCGTTTGATACAACTGGAGGTTTTGGCGAGGAATGGTGCAAGAATTCTGGTCCACCTCTGGGATACAGTCTGGGATGGGATCCAGGAGGAGAGCACACCCACTTTGACTCCTGCATGACCAAGAAAATAGGAAGTCGGTGGAAAGGGGCCATCATAGCCTCAGCCCTCCAACATTTGTGATCCTCAGCAATCCAGACTGACTGAGCAGTGTGGAAGAGAATGAATTCCACAGGGCTGCGGTGCAGTGCAACCTCTAGAGGTATCTATTGTGTGAGTCTTCTCACTCAGCTGGCACTTGCCAGGAAAGTAAACGGTGATTCGGAGGGAAAAGCCTTGTGAGACTCCATGGCACTCACTGTATGACCTCTGGGCCCATAATCTGTGAGATGCAGAGTGTATATATGCAAATTCCACTCTGCATTCTCATAGGTTATGGGCCCAGAGGTCGTGCAGTGAGTGTTATGGCTGAATAGGGATTTAAATCTGGATCTCTCAGTCACTATATAGCCAGTATTCCCCACTAAAACCAGCACAGGTAGGAAAGATATAAGCTCCCTTGCCTTAGTACCACATCAATGTGGTGATGATCTCCAGACACAAAGAGATATGAATGGTTCCCTGTGGGGGTGTTAAAAGCTGGTTGGGAGTGGTAATGGCTGGAAAGGGTGAGAAAGGGTCATGCCACTTTCTGCCTTGAAATAAATGTAAGGTGTAGTGGTTTGCCGCACTTTGTCCTGGACACAACAAAATTCGTAACAAATTAGGGAGCAAGGCTAAGCAGGTCTACTCAGAAGTCAGTCCCATTTTATTCAATAGCACTTATTCCCAGGAAAGTGTCCTGAGGATCACAGCCTTAGTGTGCATGCCTGTGCAAGAACAGTTCAAGTGGGCATGCAAAGTAAAAATGTACACCTGCATACTCTTATTCAGAACAGATGCTGGCAAGCAGTCCAAGCATTTGGTTTTTACACAAGAAATTCTGCAAAATAGCCCAGATCTTCCCCCATTTCATTTGATGCCCACCTTCCCAGTAATTCCCTCTCTTTACCTGAAGCCCTTCAGAGTAGTATGGACTTGGAGGAGGCTGTCCTCTCCTGGGTCCCACTGGCATTTTAGGCTCCTAGTGGTGTCATTTGTGATGCAGGTGAGGTTTTGGGGCTGTGATGGAGGATCTGGATGAAGATCACATGGGAAAAAAGCAGAAGGTGAGAGGTGGAGCCTGGATTCCTGCTTTAGATCTGTTCTATGTCCAAGCCAGGGCTACACCCTGGGATTTACGCTGAAGGCTGGGCTTGAAAACCCATAAACCTGCTAAAAGGGAACAATGCCTCTGCACATAAGTAGAGTGCATCTCTTACACACACAGAGAGAGGGGGGGATAGTGGCAAGGGTGTCAGATTAGGATATGGGAGACCCAGGTTCGAATCCCCACTCTGCCATGGAAGCTTGTAAGGTGACCTTGGCCCAGTCAGTCACATGCTCTCAGCCTAACCAGGATAAATTAGAGGACAGGAGAATGACATAAGCCACTTTGGGTCCCCATAAGGGAGAAAGGCAGGGTACGTAAAAAGCAAACAAGCATACAAATAAATTAATTAATAATTTGCATCCTGGCCTAACTGCCAGACCTCTCTGCTTCTACCCTCCCTCAGTGGTAGAAAGCTGGGCATTTCTAATGAAGAAGAAGAGGAGAAGAGATTGGATTTATACCCTGCCCTTCACTACCCAGAGGAGTCTCAGAGCGGCTTACAAACTCCTTTCCCTTCTCCTCCCCACAACAAACACCCTGTGAGGTAGGTGGGGCTGAGAGAGCTCTGACAGAAACTGCTGTTTTTCAAGAACACCTCTGACAGAACTATGGCTTGCCCAAGGTCATCCAGCAGGTGCAAGTGGAGGAGTGGGGAATCAAACCCGGTTCTCCCAGATTAGGGTCCGTACACTCTGGTGGTATGGGCAAAAGTAATACAGAATATGGTATAAAGAGGGGGAAGCTTGTGGAAGAAGAAAACAAAATAAAAGCAAGAGGTGGGGGTGAGAAACCACTATATACATATAAGAAGATCAAAAATTCTGGTTCATCTTGATGTATTTGGGGAAGCAATGAAGTTCACTGTGTTCAGAACAGAGTTGTATACACCTATTGCAAATCCTGTCTGGCTTTATTTCAGCTGTCAGGAGAGAATGGCCACCCGAGCAAAGGGATCTATGTCCCTGGTTTCTCCCTTCTTCTGGAGAGGGCAACTTGGCTCATTTGCTTAAGGCATGTAGTGCTGAAACCTCAGCAGGTGCCTTTTGGGGGCAGATTTCCCTTACACTGCCTTCCCTAAAGCAATGCAAATTCCGGAGTCCTAGCCTAAGAGTAGACCAGTGCTTACACCCAGCGTGGATCTGTTTCAGGTTCAAGAGGTGCAGTGTCTCCTTCAACACCCAGCAGCTCAGACTGACCACAGTCCTGTTGAGGGGCCCAATGGTGATGCTGGAAAATTCAACCTCATCGCCAAGACTGTCCTGGACACCATGGAGAAGTTGGCCATCCAGTTTCCACATCATCTGGATTTTTCCATCCTTGAGAAAAGGGCAGTGGTTCCTCCAGATGGTGCAATTAGCAGTAACTGTTGCTCCCCAGTGAACAATGGATGAGTCCACCATTAGGTTGCTACATCCGAGGGCTCCTGCAAGGGAAGCCAAGAAGATCACAGGCTGCATCCAGAGGCCTGGGAAAGCAGATCCATACACAGAGAGGCTTGTTGGTTTGGCATGAAAGTCTCTACCCTGCCCCCTCCATGTCCTAGTCCTCCCCGAACCCCAAGGGCACAAAAATCCACATCTTGCGGTTGATATGCTGTTAAAGCCAATGACTGTGGCTCAGAGGGGCTGTGGCTCTGTGGCAAAGCATCTGGTTGGCATGCAGAAGGTCCCAGGTTCAATCCCTGGTATCTCCAGTTAAAAGGTGAGGTGAAAGAGCTGAACCTGAGACTCTGGAGACCCACTGCCAGTCTGAGTAGACAATACAGACTTTAATGGACTGTTTTCGTATGTGTATGAACGTCTCTTTTAGACTCCAGTACCTTAAAGACCAACACGATTTCTAGGGTGTAAGCTTTTGAGAGTCAAAGCTCCCTTAGATGGACATGATGGAGCTTTGGCTCTTCAAAGCTTATACCCTGGAAATCATGTGGATCTTTAAAGTGCTGCTGGACTCAAATCTAGCTCCTCTACTGCAGACCGGCTACCCTCTGAAACTCTTTCTTAGACCCCACAATCATCAGTGTGTATGGGTAGCTGCAAAATAGCCCCAGCTGACAATCCTGCAGTGGTGCCCCAAAACTAAGGTTGCAACCTCTTCGTTGGCAAATACTTGGAGATTAGGCAAGTTGAGCTTGAGGAGAGCAGGGTTTGGGGAGGGTGGGGAGCTCAGCAGCAGGCCCATAGCTACGGTGGGGTATTTTGGGGCTCTGCTCCCTCAAATGGGGTGCATGCTGCAGCCCCCCCCTCCCTTCCCTCCTGTGACATTAAAAGGGCCCTCCAGCTGATTGGTGGGAGCATGTGGCCTGCCAATCAGCTGGAGGGTCCCTTAAATCTTGCAGCAGCCCCTCTCCCTCCCCTCCTCCAAGATTTAAAGGGCCCTCCAGCTGATCAGCGGGCTTTTTAAATCTTGCAGGATGTGAGGGAGAGGGGCAGCTGCCAGCCGCACACCTTCCCTGAATTACAAGCAGTGATTTCACCATGTGGAGATCAGGTGCGGGCAGCCCCCACTAGGAAAAACAGCATTTAAAGGGTGTAGCCATCTCTCTCCCACCCCCTCCCCCTCCCCTGCTGCCCCACAAAATTTCCCCGTGCCCCACCAACCCAAAATTTATGGCTTTGGGGCTACCCAGCAAGGTTCAGTGCCATAAAGTCCACATTCCAAAGCATCCATGGAAGAGGAGAACTGATCTTAATAGTCTGGAGATCAATTGTAATAGTGGGAGATCTCCAAGTGCCACCTGGAGGTTGGCAACCCTATGTCAGCAGAGGTAGTTTTGCAGTTGGACCAGCCCTGGCTAAATTATGACACAGCAAAGTACACACCTCCAGAAAGCAGAAGGAAGGTGACACAGCATGCCAGGAATCTCCTCGGTCGCTTCTTCCTTGTTGCCATGACTTTGTCTCAGGGGGCCTTGCGTTACCTAGAATTTACACAAACATACCGTAACATTTTCCTTTCCTGCAATTCACACACATACATTTCCTGAATCAGTTTGTGATTGGGAAGAGCCATTTTGTTGTGGTAATGAATAATAATGCACCCACACACGCCGTTTGATCTGGTTCCGTGACCAGGTCCCAAAGGGGTGTTTTCTCAGCTCTCCCGTTTAAAGCCGCATTTCCCCCCTGTGTGATCGCTCCTCCGGTGCCAAGCCACTTCCGGTTTAAACCTCCTCCCCGCTCGAAAGCTGCCCGAGGCCGCCATTTATTTTTAGTGTTAGTGGTGTGTGCATAGGTGGAGCTCCACTACCGTGTTTAGAAAACCGACATTTAAACGGTCAGTTGTTTTAGAGTTTAGATGAGTTCGGGATCTCACGGAGGCCATTTTCGGGTCAAACTTTTAAAGGGAAGTCTTTTGTTGGAGGGGTTGGATTGATTCGCCCTGGTGGTTCTGCGCATGCACCATGATAGTTCCCCCCCCATTCTATGGAGGGGCGCCCACTTTTGGGGCCCCAGTCCACCGATGGCCAGCTGGCTGGTGGGGGAGCCCCGCCCCTGAAGAGCCCCGTCATGCCTGGCACAATGACGTCACCTAGAAGTGATGTCATTGTGTGGGGGATGCTCTAGCATTTGGGTTAAAACCATAGAGTTTTTTGCCCAAATGCTAGTGTACCCCCCTGCACAACATGCCTGACATGATGATGTCACTTCCAGGTGATGTCATTGCAGTGCACGTGCTTAGCGCATGCCAGAAGATCCCAGGACCGGGCAGGAGCACCCACTCCAGCAGTCAGGTAAAGACCTGGCAACCCTAGCTGAGAGAGTTCTGAGAGAACTGTGACTGACCCAAGCCTAGGTAACCCAGCTGGCTTCATGTGAAGGAGTGGGAAATCAAACCCACACCTCCACATGAATAACCGGGAGACCTCCCGGAATGCCCGGGAGGGTTGACTTTTGGATGGGCAGAATGTCAGCTATGCTACCATGATGTTTATGGGCAGGAGTACATTTGCTTGACCTGTGTACCAACTGCTGCTGCATTCCTTCGTTCCTTATTATCTCTGACCTCGTAGGCTGCCTGTGTAGTGTCTTCCCATCAATTACCCGTGGGACTAGTTTCAATTCCCAGCTTTGGCTTTAAGGGCCTGGGGCCCCATTCTCCCACATGTGGGAGTCAGGCCAATTGGCCTAGGGATGGGTGTGTGTTCATACGAATGCCCTATATCTCATTATGCTTGTAGGAACATAGCCATTCCTAACAGTGACGATGTTACTGCCTCTATAGCCCTGGTAATAAAGTATAACCTTATGATAAGCATGTACTCAATTGTTTGGCTGTGGAACCTTACAATATGAAGGCATAATAGCATATCAGAATTGTGTGTTTTGTTTTAACATGGTGTTTTTCCATGTTTACTCAACCTCCAGGTGGGGCCTGGAGATCTCCCAGAATTACAGCAAGAATCTGGAGAGTTTATTTAGTCCTCCCAAAATTTTCTATTAGAGTAGTCCTCCCAGAATTTTCTATTAGAGTAGTCCTCCCAGAATTTTCTATTAGAACATTTTCTATTAGAAAATTCTGGACCAAGATAGTGAAACGTATAAAATTAATAACAGGTGCTGAGGTTTGCACGCTCCCAGAGACCATATTGTTGAATCTTTGGAATGACTCTAATATATGCTCCCCAAACAGAAATCTAATTGGTGTTTTATTGACAGCTGCAAAATCTGTAATAGCATCCAACTGGAAAACTGTTCATCCGCCAACCATCACACAGTGGCACTGTAAACTGTGGGATTATTTTATAATGGAGAAGATAGCAGATCAAGTTTCATTGTCAGAGACTATTCGTTATAACTCCAAATTTGTGGAACAATGGTTTCCAGTGTTAGAATACTTGACGTGCAGTGACACATTAAAAGAAGTGGTGCAGTTAAAGCAATATTATACTATATTAGCACAATTTTGAACTGTCAATATCAGATTAATTATCTCTGCAATACTATTCTTTCCTCTGTTCAATTCTTGGTAATTGTAAATTCATTGGTTTACCTATAGAATGTACAATATATGTTTGTTGTATGCTTGCTAAGGTAGAATAAAAATATTAAGTTAAAAAAAATTGGTCCTCCCAGAAGCATCTTCCAAAACAGACGTGGAACTGCATGCCAACATTTCAATCAAATAAAGAGATAAGATTGGTATATGCTTAACATGGATGAACATGTACAGTTGCCAGCCTCCAGATGGGGCCTTAAGATCTCCTAGAATTACACCTGATCTCCAAACTACAGAGATCAGTTCCCCTGGATAAAATGGCTCCTTTGGAAGGTGGATTCTATGGCATTGTTCCCCTTTAAGGCCCCTTCCCCCACAGACCCTGTCCTCTTCAGGCTCCACCCCCAAATCTCCAGGAATTTCCCAACCAAGTGTTGTCAAACCTAGCCGTGTAGTCCAATTTGGACATGGAGTTAGAATTCTGGTTAATGGAGGTGGTATCCATCCCCCCCCCCCCATGCTGTTGTCCTGGTAGATATCCCCTTTTTGAGCTATTATTAGCCCCAGAAGTGGAGGGAGGGGGAGATAAGTCCTTGTTGTCCTTACTGGATACAATAGCAGCCCGGCAGGGTGTGTGTATGTGGATTATTTTCTTGAAAATGGTGCAGAGGAGAGGATTGACTCTCCTCCCATACTGCCAGGGCACAGGACTAAATTGATCCACATGACCAGTGGCTATTTTTATGGTTTGAAAATGAGTAATCTGACCCTTTAGTCAAACCTATGCACAGTAATCAAAATGGCTCAAATGAATGTCAATAGAATAAAACATTAGACAACCTCCCCCTTCCAAGTTGACAGAGATGTAACAATTCGTTGGCCCCATAATTGCCAACAAATGTATCAAGGGCTTCATTTGACACCAACGGGCTTGGAGACTATAACATACATGCACAGTTTAGCAGCGCACCTGGCCCCTTGCCCACTTGGACATCAGCTTGGCAGGCAAGAGGCTATACCCCACTCTGTAAGCACGAACAAAACCAGGACTAGGATCCCTCTCAAAACTCACCTCAGCTCAGGATCCTCCAACACCATGAGAATGCTCCACACAGAGGACCAGAAGCGAATCAATGCACTGCTTCCTTACTGCCCCCCCCCCCCGATTTATTCCTCAAAATGAAAAGCAAAGGCCAACCACCGGGAGCCGTTAGTTTCTCTGTTGCACGCTCTCTCTCTCTCTGTCTCTTTGTTACTGCAAGCAAGGAGGTTGCAAAAGCCTTCTCCAGAGGCGTGTTATCTGACCAACTGTGTCTTGCAGGAAGCTCTGTGGCTGGCACACTCGCCTTGCAGCACTGTGTGAGGTAGCTGGCCCCTGCCTCAACTTCCCTAACCCGCACTGTTTTACAGGGGCCTTACACAGCCCTGGCAGTGTGGCAATCCTCACTTTTGCTGTTACATACTGGGCTTCTCAGAAGAGAGAGAGAGAGAGCTATCCGGGTGTTCTTCGGGG